AAATTGAATTGGATGGCTCTCTCATTGAAGAGACCACCTCGTACGTTTACCTTGAGCGATCAATGAACATGAAAAACAACATTAAACAGCAACTAGATAGAAGAAGGAAAGCTGCTTGGGCCGCATACGGGCCTCTCAAAGAAGCCACCGACCAACTGAAGGACCCGAAATTCCGCTCTCATCTCTTTGATTCTACGGTCCTCCCAGCGCTCTGTTATGCCGCAGAGACGTAGGTCGGTACTTCAACTACGTCAAGAATGCTTAGAACTACTTACAGAGCGTTTGAGCGATGTCTTCTGAAATACAACCGGCACCCTCAATATCTAGCCGGAATGCGAAGCTCTGACCTTCGAAATCTGTCACATCTTCGAGATCCAGGAGAATACACATCGATAGCGAAACATGGATGGGCCGGTCACAAAATGAGAACAACAGACGACAGATGGACGAAAAGAGCAGTACAGTGGACTCCAAGAGAATGCAAACGTTTCCTTGGACGACCACCCACACGTTGGGCAGACGTGTTCGTAAACAAAGTTAGTCAGCTGTACCCGCAGCTGCAGTTGTTTTACAGATCACGGTATGAGACTCGTAAGCGCTACAATGCTCGAACAAGACCACCACCATGGACAACTATTGCGAAAGAAAGGAACGAATGACATGCGTGCTGGGGTCCGCACAGCTCGTGAAGACGGACCGTCTAAGTATCCAAGTAAGTAGGTATTGTCCTGCCGTGAAAAATTGTAATACGCAATAAATAAAAAGTCAACAGTGTGACTTCGTCTTCAATTTTTTGTAGAGTTCTCTTTCGAAATCCTAAAATTGAATGGGTATTTTAGAAAGTTTATGCGTACCTTTTGATCAATGGGACAAACCATCCTGTATTAGTCTGGTATGTTGATCACACCTCAAATACTCTAGTTGTAAAAAAAACGTTGGCAATTATCAAAAGTCGTCATTGAGCGCTATGTGTTTATTAGAAGAGGAAATAATTTTTGTGCACGTATGACCCATATATGGCTCAAACCGCATGAATCTGTTCACCAGTGCGAGCTCCGTCTCCCACAGATTCCCGATTTGCGTGTGTCCACCCTGAACAGACATTCAGCGTAGGTAAGCAGCGGGAAGAAATGTGAGCAATAAAAACACATGAATCATAAAAATATTCTCTTGTTCTTTCCTCTCACTACTTATAAAAAGGCTTTTCTCGAAAATTGAGGAGACTTTTACCTAAGCAATAAATAGATTTCTTCCAAGATTGCCTCATTTGGTTGAACATTTTTCAGCCTTCTTCGGCCAACTGTATTCCAGGTGCTTATTCAAAGAACCGAACAAGAACTTGCCTGCAAACTCAGCTACAAGTGGTGTCGTCGATATTATTGACTCTGCTGCACTGACCGTGGTTCTTTGCAGCACATACTCCTTATTACCCCTTTAGATTGTTTGGTGGCCCGTCGCTACATGTTTGAGCCCTGAATATTTCCACTTTGATTGGTTTCCTCGAAGCTGTTATCCATGTACTTGAGTGGTTTCATCTTTAAATTCGTCTTTTGCTTGATGATCTGTAGCCTTCTCTCCTCATCGACATTTTAAAAACACTTGATCATAGCTACAAGAATACTGGGATATGAACAGAGCTCAGGACCTCGTGTCGGCTTCGAAACCGCGACTACCCTTGCCGGGCGCTCGTATGCTATCCCCCACATCAACCGCTCGTTGTTCTTGTTTAGTCTTTCTCCCAGACACTTTCTCACCCTATCGGTGTCATCAGCAATCCCCGTCAACAGGAATGATCTGGAGAGCACAAATCGACAGTGAACCCCGTTAAGACGAAGCTATTTACATTCGAAATCACAACGTTTTAACTGCTATTTGTTCCGTCTCACTGATATGGACGTACGATTTGAGATGGTAGTGATATATTCATAGGAATCATGTGTCCTGCTACGAATAAATAATAGCCAATAAATAAAGGTTAAAGTATAAGCTAGCAAGGTTGTCGCCACTGCGAGATCAATTCTTACAGCGGCAGCAATTCCTGTGACTCGCTGACCTATCATTGAGAGCTAAATAACAGGCCAAACCCAAGTTAAACTTTTACCTAAGCAATAAATAAATAGCAAGACAAGATCAAACAATACAAAGTGATGCATTGTTGGAGACGCTTCTATTTATCTTTCAGGATATTCTAGAGTATTACAAAATGGTTAGACCATTGAAGATGAAAAGGTAGAAAAGCATGTTACAGAATCAATGCCAAAATCCTCCTTGTTTAAGTTCCTCTCATCACTTTATTCCTGACATACGTTTTCACACACCAACTGGAGCTAATCTTAACATACATCGTCAAAATTACGTCAGTTGGATTTAATTTCAACAGGTTCCGCTGAAAACCTTCATGAACTTACAATAGAGTGCGACAAGTTGCCAAAGGTTTTTAAGAATACAAGAGTGAAAACAAAAACAGGTACTCCTTTAATAATCGAGTGGCTGGAACAAATGAGAGCCAGTAAATTTCATATTGTTCACTGTCAACATTTCACACATTCATGGGTTATAAGAACATCAAACTTTTGCAAAGCATTTATACTTTTGTTGATGTTGGCAAGCGTAGCAAACTACAAAACACTGACGTCTATCGTGGGAAACGTCCAGGGAGGTCAGATCAGCAATAATTCACGGTTCACGCTGAGTGAAATGAAAAGCAGAACTGAAGGTGGGGTGTGTGAATGAATCAAGTGGGGCAAAGGCAAGAAACCATCTCTCCACTCTATTCACGACATAGTGCAGGTGCTTACGATTCTTGTAAATTCCTTTCAGGAAAATATGAAATTGCTTCTGTCTTTGGTTATTCTTGTCTCTTAGATAACCAGCTCGCTTTGCGCACAAAAATGACGATTTTTTAAAAAAAAAATTACCCTCGTAAGACAACATTCTGTGGGTTCTATAGTAGCATGACGTCTACTTAAGATTGAAAATCACGTAGCTGATGGACAAACGATTTCCGTGAAGTGTTACCACTGAACAAGCGAATTGATGTTGGTAACTCCTCATCTGAATTCCTGATGCAGCCAGCTGAATAGGAAACGGAAAACCGCCGGCAGCTACTTGAAAGCCGGAAAAACTCGACGGCCGTGTGCGAAGTAGATGTTGCTCAGTGGGCAATACAAATACTGACCAACTCAGGACTGGAGACGCACAAAAGAAACTGGACCCTTAGAGTCATCATGCTGGATTTTTTTCGCGCCCAACTACGTACGTAAACGCAATAACAACCGTATAAAAGCAGTCTGAGCTAAGTATTCCTACCATTTTCTCCTCACCACTTTGTCACTGTGTTCACCGACCATTGAAATCAGTCTGTTTTATTTACATTTGCTCTCTGCGGGAACACTTCTGTGTTCCGCTTCAATGTGCAATTTAAGAACGACCTTGAACCTCCAAAGTGCTAAACAAAAGGCCGATCAAAAATGAGAGGGAGGAATTTTTGGAACAACCGAATGCATTGCTTGCATAACTAGCTTTCAATAACTCTGCAGAAAAGAAGAGTTATTATCTCAACTCATGAAAAAAGTCCCCGTATTTTTCGAATAGCGCATTTTTCGAAAGAAAAAAGTATTTATTCAGTGTTTTAGTAGGATTATTTAGCCAAGTGGGCGTGTTTTGCGCTTTAAAAAACCTGATGCTCCACTTTACATTTCAAGAAACGAAGTACTGGCAGACAAAGTGCAGCTGAAACAGTATGTAGTTCTTCTTCGAATCTAAAAATGTACTTTTTCTCGTATATCAGTATGGAAATGTATTACTAGCAGTTCTCACGACAAATGGTGTTAGCATTAAAAATATGAAGAGATATTAACTATTAAAGATACCATTAAACAAAGGTCCTCCCAACGGTTGACCGCCTCGTCGTGGCTGGGAGGTGTTCCTGGGTGCTGGGCTGCGATGTACACCGTGGAGATTCATCTCCCTGGCAGGGTCTCCCAAACTGGGGAGTCCGGCTTTTCCATCAGGTAGCCTAGCAACAGTAAACCAATACCAGTATCCGTCATCGTCCTGGTACCAAACTAGTCGCACGGTGGCAAGTCTACCTTTCATCCACAAGGGCGGCGATTGCTTGTTGTGGTGACCTGGGGCAGACCTTGCTTTGGCTGATATCGGGACTCCAGAGAGCCATAATGGCTAAATCAGCAAAACTACGAACAAGTGGAAATTATACTGGGGCTTTCACAACCAGTGAGGGCGGGCCATTCAAGTGTCCAAGTAAGTAAGCATCAAAAGAGGATCGGCGTGATGCCCTAAATGTGCACAAACGGCATCTCAATCCACTGTTCTCACAAGAAAATAAAGACCCATTAGGATTTTCACTATTGAGTTTTATACTAAAAGTTCATATTTCTCAGTGTGAATTTATTTATGTGGTTGGAGCACAGAAACGAAAACTCTGCGTGAAGATAGAATCAGCCCACAGTGTTCACTGAAGTTTTATCTTGTTGTTGTTCTACTTTGGCACCAACCATGTGAAATGCAACTGGAAACCCATTTCAACCACTTCTGGAGCAGAAGACAATGGTTAAAAGTGAATATGAACTCATGGTTTACGGAAGCCGTAGCTTCTGAGTGATTTGCAGAATAGAAAATAATTGACGGAAGTTTCTATTCAACTCATTGAGCACGAGATGTATTCGCAAAAGTGAGAAACCTTGACTTACACAACAATTCCATCTTCACAGAGGACTAGAGAGCTTTTTCAAACTAGTGAGGTTTGTAAAAACTAAATGAATTTTAGAGATGCACCTAGTTCTTCTGTTAATCGTTACTTCTGCGACAGCCGTTCGTTCCTCAGCAACAGTCAGTTCGAGTTTCACCATTAGCAAAACTGCAATCTTTCTACACTTAGTTTTTTTTAATCATATTGTTTTGACGGATGCAGCTAACTTAAATTATCTGCAGTGATAATGTTCAGAATAAAATTGTCGTGGACAACGATTTGGACTTAAATGTCACTGCAACGAATTCAACACGATCAAAGCGATTCGGCTGCTCTTGCGTCCCGGTATGCAGTAATAAACTTATGCAACCAAAATTTAGGTTTTTCCCTTGAAAGCAAAAAGCACTCTTCTGTTTTCTGGTTCGGAAAACTATCACATTTAGATCTTCTCACTTCTCACACATTGAAGCATCGAGAAAGCTTTTTGAGTTTGAGATCTGCTTTGTGGTCAATCCAAATGTAAAGTGGTGGAAAAGGGTGGCTGCCGCTGTTCTAATACTCATGGTTACCTCTATAGAATTTTTATCTGAAAACTTTCCAAGTGCTCAGCGTTTTCAGCTCTCCCATTCAAGTAGATGCAGTGCCAGTATAGCGGAGTGTTAACGGGATGTACCTCGTAGGTGATTATTAACAACGAGCAAATAAATACTGATACGTCATGAATTCAAACATATAAGGTTTATTGGACCAAACAGATTCAATAATTTGGTTACCTTTTCTAATCAGATCTGTTTCAGAGTTGCTTCCCTCCAGCTCCACCAATCTATGTGCCTTGTCCAGTAAGGGTTCCAGTTGGTGTTCCTTGTCCAGTCCCAAGTCCGTTTCCAGTGCGTGTCCCAGTACAAGTTCCCGTACCTGTACCACAACCAGTACCAATCATCTGTGCTCCAGTGCCGGTTCCTGAGCCTGTGCCTGTTTCTGTCCCTAGACCTGTACCCGTTCCCGTTCCCGAACCTGTACCAGCTCCTTACCCTGTACCTACTCCAGTTCGGTGTGCACCACCACCGTGTTGTCCATGTGTGAGTTTTTGAGTATTGCTAAGCACAATCTATTTGGCCGCAATATAAGTTTATAGATCATGTTCAAGAGACTGAAAGTCTTTCTTAGCACAAAACTTCACAGGAGTTGAATCAGTAAGGCAACCGCAAATATCCGACAATGCAAACCCATACGACTCGGGCACGTAGCAGAGGAAAGAGACGAGTTCAACAAACAACCCATTAGTTAGTAGTTAACAAAAAGTCGCGAAAAAGTCATTCCATTAAGAAAAATAGTTTTAGATAATTCTACTCACAGAATAATCCAGCGATAATTATATTGGCCCGTATCACGTATGTGAATTTTCCTCTTTCCCTTTAACGTTCAACCTCCATTAGTGAGTTTTCTTTTTGTTTCTTCGTTTCAACAAAATCGTTAATTCGAATGTGGACTTAAAACAAAAGTGACTTCAACACTTATGTATAGAGATGGCCTATTTTCACATGCCATGTAGGCCTCAGCATTCCTTCGACCTATTTCTTTCCCCCGCAAGCGAAATCCTTAGAATTCGCAGGATTCAGATGCAAACGCGGTCGCCCCTTGGGAATGAACTTCTTTCCTCATTGATATGGTGGGTCTCTGTAGGCGTGATTGTCTTGCAAGCTAGATGTAGCCGTGATAGGGTGTTCTCGGGTGTTCTCAGGTAGTTGTCAGCCTTTGCTGCCTTGCTACTTCGATTTCTTTAATACTGACTGACTGCTCGAAGAGAATGTGAAAAGTTAACAGCTACTTGTAATTCCGTTAAACAATCAATTACTACAACAGGCTTTATTACATTTACCATTCCTTTCTCTCGCGTGTGTCAGCGACACCCTGACCTTCCCTCGTCGATAAACACGAAGCTTTTTGAGAACTTTTTTCATTGTTTTGACGAGCACAAAGGCTCTGCCTTGAAACTTGGGCGCGATTGTGGTTAGCTTGCCCGAGTTTCTTTAAAGTGGTCGAGAAGATGATTTGTTTGAAGCGATACCGAACTACTTTTTATGCATTAGACAGTCTTTAACTGAAGCCTTTTCGTCGAAGCGGTGGGATAGTACAATGCATATACAAGCAAGCGCCCGGATACATTTTCATTTTATTTTCCATGGACCACCATCACATCTACTGTACGAATCCCAGCACTTGAATTTCATTTTCATTCCATTCATCGTCCATAATGGTCTTCCGACATTCCGCGTGTTGTTTCTGCTGGTGCTTGAAGATTTCGTCTTTTTTATGAATGTTGTGAAGTGCTGGTCGAGTCGATTCTCCTTGAAATCATAAAGATAGAAGAACTAAGAAGTTCCTACGTCGATTGAAAGAGAGCTTTGGGGAAGGGGTCGAACAAGCGCCTTTGCTTCCTGGTCGACGGCACCACTAACCATTACGCCCCCACATATATATGTACTAATGTGATCCCATGCATATGCAGGAAGTACAACTCAATCAAGCAAAACAAGAACGTGGATCCCATATCCTATCCTCTTACCTTCTGGAGAAGCATATTAACACATAATGTTCTGTTTAACCCATTATTTTCCTCCCAGAGCCTGGCTATTTTAGCACGGGAATAATGGTTCTAAATCCCATGCACGAGTACAGTTTGCAAGAAATTTTCTTATTGGACTCGATAGTTTCTTACAATTTAAACATCAGAAAGAGGATCTGCATATCTTATCACCTGTGTCACCCGTAGTCTCGTTGATCGTCGAGTGACTCGAGCGGGCGCCATTAAATCTTCCATCTTTCGCTGTCACGTACAAGGGCACCCCAGTGGGTTCTGCTCGCTCTTGGGACTCGTCGAGCATCATATCTCTCTTCAAGGCTCTTTGTGAAGAGGGACCAAGGCTCTTTGTGGGCTCTTTGTGAAGGCTCTTTGTGGTCAGAGGACCATTGGGTCGGTGGTCTTCCTGCAGTACGTTTGACATCCCAAGGAATCCAGTCACTAACGGCTCTTGTCCATCGGTTGTCATTCATACGCATTACGTGTACGGCCCACCTTATCTTCGACTGTTTGGCGTACAGAGCAGCATCTTTCATTTTTAATCGTTGACGCAGGTCGGAGCTTCTGATCCCTTCCCTTACTTGTGTGATACGGGATATTCTTAGAATTGTCCTTTCCACTGCCCGTTCAATAACGTTGAACGATTTTTCATTCTGTTTGCGCAGCGACCAGGTTTCTGACGTACACGTTAACGCAAAAAGTACAGTTGAGTCGAAATGGTGGGTACTGAGTCGGGTGTTTCTTGTTCGCCTCACTACATCCTCGATGATCTTGAAAGCTCCCAAAGGCGCTCGTTTCCTTCTGCTTCTACATATCTTGCAGTTGAATTTATGTTGTTCTTACCACTATACGGCTTGAGATCTTATTTCACGCTTACCTTGACCTTGCTTCAACTGTCTAACAAACTTTAGCCATTTTGTCTTGTATCAACGCTACCATATCTTGCCCTTTCTTCAAATTAATGCCTGAGACCTCCAGAATAATTCCGAGGGGGTAATCCACTCAGTCAATCCTCCTGATCGCTTCACCCCTTTCACACAAGAACACCATATTTTGATAAGCTGAGCATTCGTAACTGCCAATTCAAGAAATCGTTCATTTTGCTATCTCAATTCTTTTCAGGGATTTGGCCGATAATGTGGACGACGTTACCTGATCGAGACTTCGCTTTAACGATATTGTACACTGTAGTGACTCACTTCCATTACTTGGAGAAATAAAATAGTGCCAGCATGATATGTTTTTGTTAATGAACTTATATGTTGGGGTAAAATGATTTATATCACTGTGTCGAAAATATTGGAGCACAGACGGCCTGGTAGGAGCCGTTCACGAGTGGTGAGTTCCCAAAAATCATTGTACGTTTCAACTTTAAACAAATATATTTATTGAGAAATCCTGCTCATTCTAACAAAAACCATTGGAATCCGCAGATTAGTTGCCAAAATTTGTCACGTTTCTTTTCCTTATTCTACAACGATTCTGTTCTGATTCTTTTGAGCAAACAGAACGAACTCCCTTGTTGTTTTTCGCCCGACCTTAGCACTTTCTTGATGAAGATGCTGAAACCTTTTCTAACCTACATGAACTTTCCCTGGATGAAACCTCTACTGCACATCAAATTTCAGAACTAAAAATTACTCCTGTCATGTTGAGGCAGCAAAATGTTGAAAGCGGGAGTAGTAGTATCGGTAAAAATCAGTAGCTTTCCAACGGATGAGTCTGTCATTACTTTAACGGCAAAGCAGAATATATTAGCCTAACTGATCTGTAGACCAAAGTTCAACCATCACGTTATATAGAAATGCACATCTGATCCGAATTCAACAGTTGTTCATTTACATCATTTATATTTTCAGTACTTGCTAAGTGAGGAGAAGAAAAGATTAATTGTAAGAGAAAAGGCATACAAATTAAAAGGCATAAAAAGATTCATGGATTAAAAACAACAATTGGATAGGAGTGCTGACATTTGTTGGCATTCATTGAGTGGTTCGTGCAGCATTCGTTTGAAGTATGGAAGTTTCAGGAACTCGAACCTTCTTATGATGAACCTGCAACCTTGTCGCCACTTTTAGTTCTTCATTTTGAAGCGTTGAGTATGAAGTTCAGCGTCCTTAATGTTGTCGTCTGACCACCGATGGAACCAGGGTCGACCGTCGTTCTGGTATCAAACTAGTCCCATGGTGACAAATCTCCCCCTGATCCACAACGGCTGCGACTGCCTGTGGTAGTGACGACCAGAGGCAGACTTTGGATACGCTGACCTAGAGACTCCAGGGAACCACAGTGGCTAAACCAACAAATCTCTGCGGAACGGAAATTATGCTGGAGCTCGCAAAACCAGTGAGGGATTGGAGGATTTTTTTGTAGTATGACTATCATCGTTTCTTGAACAGCTGATCAATCTCGTTATTAAAAAAGATTCGTTAAACTAGTAGATTTATTCAGTGTATAAGTCTTTGCTTTAAAAATGTTCCAAATCACTCTTACAGTGCAAGATATTTTTGCAAAGTTAACGGTCACATAGGATGAGAAATTAGAAATGAGAACGCAAAAGAATTAGAATTGTGTTGTGGAACGAGTTTTACATTCTAGTGACTAGTAACTTATTCCAAGCCACATTGTTCGACATTTCCATCCGGAAGCCTGTTAAGAGAATACCTGTGGGCGACACAGCCTTTGGTACATCATCTCCTAAAAAGCTTGAAAATATGAACTTCTATTTTAAAAATCTGTGGGCATTCTTCAGATTTTCTTGTTCTTTAGATTAGGGAAGTCCACTGGGACTATGAAACGCGAAAAGAACTACTGAAGAATTTAGCGTTATCCATTTAAATTACTTATGATTAACACCCTTAAAGAGAGAAAAGCAATAGTAATAATTGAAGCTGCAGAGGCCGGGAAAAGCATTCGCAAAGCCCACCGAAGCTTCGCCAACTACAAGACCAAGATGATTGTGCTCCGACGCCCAAATGGAACAGTTACAGCATCCAGAAAGGCAAGAAATGGAGAAAATCACTCACGATTACTACTCATATCTCTTTGATAACCACGTCCACCTTCCGTCATATGAAATAAAGGAGGATGGATATGCTCTACCACCTCCTTTCCGAAATTCTACATGCCATCTCGTCGGTGAAAAATCGAACAGTATCAGGACCGGAGAGGATAAAACCAGAACACCTGAAGAACTTTTCGCCAGTCCTCGTAAACATACTGGCTAGGCTCTTCACACGTTACCTGTCTGAATGCAAGGTCCTACTCAGTGGAAGACCAGCAGGACCGTGTTATTGTTTAAGAAGGGTGACTTGCACGATATCGGCAACTATCGCCCAACCTGCTTACTGTATGTTGTCTGCAAACTTTTCACTCGAGTCATCCTAAACAAGATTGACAGAACATTGGATGAAGGAAAGCCATGTGAGCAATATTGGATGAAAGACAGCCATGTGAGCAAGCAGGGTTTCGAAGAGGATTTAGCACGATGGACCACATCCATATGATAACAAGGCTCACTGAAGCATCACGAGAGTACAAAAGACCGCTCTGTCTCACTTTCATCGATTTGCAGAAGGCCTCTGATTCAACTGAGATAGAAGCAGTCATGGAAACCCTTGATAGTCAAAGAGCCCCTACTCAGTACATAAAGATTCTTCGTGAGCTGTGCAAAAATTTTACAACCGAGATAACACCATTCTACAACAATATTAACATTGACGTCAAAAGAGGAGTTAGGCAAGGCGATACCATCTCGCCAAAATTATTTACCGCCACCCTCCAGAACGTTATGCGAACATTGGAATGAGATAATATGAGAATGAATATCGATGGTCGGCAATTACACCATCTTCGCTTTGCTGATTACATCGTACTTATAACACCAAGTATTAACCAAGTGGAACGTATGCTTGCCGACTTCGACAAAGCCTGTGGAAAGATTGGTCTTCGACTAAATCTCACAAAAACGATGTTCATGAAGAACGGATTGGTTTCGTATGACCCATTCACGCTCAATGGAACGATTATCTCTGAATGCTCCAGTTATATCTATCTTGGTCGGGAAATCAATATGATGAACCACTTTGTTCCAGAGCTGAGCAGAAGAAAACGAGCGGCTTGGGAAGCCTTCAAGATCATCGAGGATGTAGTGAAGAGAACAAAGAACACCCGACTCCGTGCCCACCTTTTCGATTCAACGGTACTTCCTGCCCTAACGTATGCGTCAGAAACTTGGTCGCTGCGTAAGCAGGATGAAAGATCACTCAGCGTTATCGAACGCGCAGTCGAAACGATGATGCTAGGAGTATCCCGTTTCACACGAGTAAGAGATGCGATCCAAAGCTCCGATCTGCGTCAATGGTCAAAAATCAAAGATGCCGTTCTGTACGCCAAACAGTCGAAGATAGGCTGGGCCGGATACGTAATGCGTATGAATGATAACTGATGGACAAGAGCCGTTAGTGACTGGATTCCTCGGGATATCAAATTACAGCAGGAAGACCACCGATCCGATGGTCATAGTTTTTTGCGAAGAGCCTAGAAGAAAGATATGATGCTTATCAAATCCCTAGAGCGAGCAGAACCCACTGGACTACTCTTGCACGCGACAAGAAAAAATGGAAAATTTACTGGCGCCCGCTCTAGTCGCTCGACGATCAACGGGACTACAGGTGATACAGGTGATGATTAACACTCTAAAAATGATGTATAGCATCTCAACAGAGAAACAGGAACTGTGGGAATGCAGTGACAGAATAGTCATATCGTATTTGTTTAGAATGTTCAGTTTACACAAGGTTGTTATGTTTTATTCCGCTGACGTATTGAAATCGTCATCTTCCTCAAAGCCGACAATCCGAGTTGATGGCCCACAGTCATTGGTCCCGTCGATATTCTTCGTCCTCGTATCGAGCTGAATCTTCTTCAGTGAAAAAATATTATTACTGATCCACAGTTAGTAAAAGTCCTGCTTAAAAAGGCACCGCCAAGTGAGGTCACTTCATTCGAGCTGTGCATGATACAGGAAGATTCGACTCGAACGGAAACGAAGATCCGCAACTTGAGCATAAACGACTCAACAAAAAACACTTTGAAACTCAATTTTTTAATGTGTCGTTTTCTTGTTCAGCAATCGCGAAGTTTTTAAACAGCATACATTTACTTCCATAAAAACGCAATACAATACAACGCTAGCTGACGTTTCGACAGTATCGCCTTCTTCAGAGCCTGGAAGGGTATACTGACATACAATCTACTAGGCCAAACGCTTCAATAACACTTACACAAAGACGAAAGACTCTTTGGTAATTACATGATCAACAACTTCTCGAAAAACTCACCGCTTTCTACGTGACTTCCAGTGAGGAAGTTTAGAACAGCTGATTATAGTCGCATGTGGTTGACGAATGCACCATCCCAGATCAAAAATCGATGCGAACGTACGGGATCAGGTCGCGTATGACCTCCGGGCATTCGTCCCTGCTATTCATTGTAGGGTTTTTGGCATTGATCCAAAAAGCCTCTAGGAGTTTTCGCGCTGGTGTTTTGGATTTTAATATCAAAATATATAATATAATATCAATATGTATTCTTTCTTGATGAGCTTACACGAGGTTGATAAATATATTTATTTTCGGCTAACGTTTCGACGTCTTCGTCTTCCTCAGAGCCGGTGATCCGAGTCGATGGTCCATGCTTGTTGTTCGCCTCGACGTTGCGTCTTCGCCTTCCTGTCGAGCCAGATCTTCCTCAGCGAGCCATCTTCTCGAATGAGGCATCCTCACTCAGTGATGCCCTTTTGCCCTAATATAATATCAATTTTTTAATACATATATTCGGTCATATTTGCCCACATTTGGGTCATATGAGTCTTTAAAATAAGAGGAGAATGATTTATGAGTTCATGAACGCAAACAAGGATCAATGATCAATCACCACTAAGCTACCATAACGAACAGGCAGGATCAAGGATCATCGACGTGAAAAACTCGACATAAAAAGGACCGCGTTGATTGATAATCCCATCGTTGTCGAGCCTTGAACGTTTTATTCACGATTTGCCCTCAAATACTATGGGCGGACGCTTTCCATTACTCATTTATTCACATTTACGGTGAACAAAACTTTACAACTATCATAGGTAGTTGGTTTAGTAGGCAGTCTTACTTCTGAATTAATATTGTTATCGTAGGATGAACTCTGTCCTTGTGATTCTTGCAATCTCGAGCGGTGTTTGGTGCACTGCCGATGGTGAAAGAAATTTCGGTGTTCCGGAAAGACAAGGCCGTCCAATGAGACCGCCGCCTCCTACCTATTTGAGGAACGTGACTGAGCAGGCTCGAACCGAATACTTCGCCATTGTGTCGAACATGACTCAAACCATCGCCCAGCAGAAGCAAAATCTGCTGGAATGGGCGCAGAAGTACAACATGGAGGTAATTTCACTTTTCGAGTCTTTTGCTAAATTCGGACTAGCACATCGCGTCGTGGGTTTGCTTCACACATCCACAGCTTTCAATAAAATGTAGTTTCCAGTAAGAAAATTTCGACACTTGCCTTTTCAGAGGCAAGCGCGAGAGTACGATACGAATATGACGAGCCTAAAATATGACGTAAAGAATAATGTGACGAATTTGATCTCACAGCTGCCGTCAGCCCTGCAACAGTTTTTCGCTGTAATGGACGACGATAATCAGACTTTCGTGGAGCAGATGAAAGCGCTCAAAGATCTATGCTCTCAAAACCGACAGGTTCAGTAGATTTTTAATCTATTGCACTTTCCTTATACTCACTGTTGAAGCAATTGCGCAATTCGAATAACACAGGAGTGGATCAATTTCTGTTCCCAAACTTTTAAATTGGCAAAAATTTGACATTTTGACAGCATCATTGCAACACCTTAAGCGTTTTAAGCGTCTCTTTTAGCAATGCAATGTTCTAAAAACCGTTATGAAACAGTTCAAACCGAGAGGGCAAGATGACTTTATAAGAAACTCCATGATGGGAAGACCCGGGACAGACGAAGGACATGGCAGTTTTGGGCCGCCAGGAAACTTCGATGATGAGGAAGACATAGGTGATTTTATTCCAGTTAACACCGAATCTCTTCAAAAAGAGACTTGTCTTCTCTTTATACCGAATTCAATACCATATTTGAACCGCTATTGGTGGTGTAGTAGAAAATTTGGATAACGTTTCAGGGATTTCATGAGCATGGAATGGATGAAGAAAGCAACCGATCGAGGCCGTTTAAGATCGAAATAGAGATTGAATGGTCACATAGAATGTCAACGTGATAAGTTTTGTAATAGCGTTTGTAGAATTCTACGCAATCTGTCACTATTCACTCAGATATATGATTCTGGGAAAAATATTCCCCAACACCCACAGTTTCCCATTATTTCCCAAGCGTTTGACGTTTGCCTCATTTCATTGTGATCGTTTACGTTCGAGCAACAACGTCAACATTTATACCGCATTTCTGTCAAAGTAAAGGAGATTTGTCGGCTTGTTCAAGACATGCTGTCAAGGATTTGTTGACTCTTCATCAACTATTTTGGAGCTAACGGCCTTTATAAAGTGATAACAAATTACGTTTGAAGAAAATCACTTGGAATATCTTCGAAATGTCGAAATTTTTCTTACTCTATTCAGTCAGTTCAAAGCGCCTCTGAACTACAGAGAAGAGCAATAATAAAAAGTCGCAGTTCTAGCCATCACTCCAAGAGTTTTTCTATTCCTTTTGTTGTCACACTCTTTGTCGCAGCGGTCTCAAATAGATTGGTTGCAAACTAGGAATTGGTTCACAAACACCGCAATCTCCTTAAACGACAACGGGTACTACAATGAGATTCGATCACTACCAAGACTTATAACGAACGCCAGCCAGCCCACATTAGTCCGATGGCATTAAGTTAACCTGTTTCATTATGTCACAACGTAATAACTTATAAAGTTCTGCACATTAAACTTTCGAGATGGTCATTCCAAAAAAAGACAACAACAAAAAGACACTGACATAGCTGTTTTTCCCTCCTGATGTTGACCCGACTTCTGAAGGGCATTCTAGCTGCGACGATGGTTAAAAAAACAATCTACATTAAATTCCTACAGCTTAGTAGTAGGAATGTAATAAAGCAGAATTCTACAGCTAACATCAATCGGAGATAAATACAGCAAAATTTGTGCCAGCCTTGTGCAAAAGATAACGCGCCCAACTTTTATCAAACCCTTAGGGACGCATCATGTGTTCGGCTCCAAAAAGTTTCGTAGAGGTAGGTTATGGACGCCATATTTGGCTAATACAGTGATTCGCGGAGACCTATTTATGTACCAACTCAGTGTTTTCGTCCTTCTAGAAAAGTCTGTTACCAATCTTCCAACCCTAGATGGATGGAACGCTTAGCTAGCCCGGAAGCGAGATCGGACCACTCACCATGTGTTTATGTCAAGTGACCTCTAAACCTGAACAGCCATGGAAGATTTTAAAAGATATTGAAAAACATTCCGAAATACAGTCACCAGTGCGATGCATATCACGCATTAGGACAACTAAACCGATGAGTGTTAAATTAGATACAAAAGTGTTTCCGCTGCCTACTCATTACGAAAGCTTCTCATTCCTCATAGACTTTAACATGCAGAGTTTGACATGAGTGGAATCCCATCCATTCGTGGAAATGAAGGATCGGCCGATGTGGATCTATGTGAACTCATTTTCCTTCCGGTTATTTACTTTATCGTACAAGGGTTATTTGCTGAACTCTTTCCAAACATATTTTGGCGATAGATTATTGATGGTGGACAGAGTGCTTACACAGAAATTTTGCCTTTGGATGAGATACAGAGATGTCTTCGCTGTTTTTGTACACTAAAGCTCGACACTTATAGATATGCTTTCGTCTTGATAGGGATAAGGATAATTAAGGAGACGAAGATAGAAGACGATATAAATGTAGTTTCAGCACAGTTATGTACACTGAGCACCACCAAAACTGCTTTCCTGCTAGATAGTTGTTAGTTAATGTGTTTCCACGTCGGACGTCTTTTTTCCAGTTGCTATTCCCATTACACGCTTATTTGTAGAAATAGAAACTAGCAGGATCTACTGATCTTAATAAACAGGACATAAGTTTTCCCATCGTACTACTATGAAGTTCCGATTTTCTGGAGACCAGAAAGCTTTTTTTTCGCGAAAGGTCATAATTCAAATTTCAAATGCCATTGAGCAAGAGGAACGCTGGCCGCGAGGAAATGGTGGTGTTCCACAATGTAGTGTTGATAATTGCAGTTATCTGCCTTTATTTATGTTATTATTAGATAACCCTACATCATATTTTATGCAAACACCAGCAATTCTTTCATTCTTGCAAACTGACTTTTATATTACTTCGGTACGGATAACGAGTGCGTACTTTTGTCATTGATAAGCTAACACGAGGTTGATAAGTAAAAGGATAAAGCTCTCAGCGTTGAGCAATCCCTGAGGGATGCACCATGCATTCGACTTGTTTTAGTTATCGACAAATCATCGGAACCTCCAAGTATCGTCCAATATATCCCATGGATATAAAAAATCATTTCTGACCATTAATTAGTTGTTAGTTTTTTCGGTTTTCCGCCTCATTGTGGCTAGAAGGTGTTCTTGGGTGTCGATCTGGGATGTACAGCGGAGAGACTCATCCTACCGTCAGGGTCCCCCAAGCTGAGAAGGAGTCCGGCGTTTCCATCAGGAAGCCTAGCTAGGAGTAAACCAATACCAGGATCCACCACCATCCTAGTATCAATGGTATATCGCATGGTGGCAAATCTCCCTCTGATCTGAAAGAGCTGCGACTGCTTTTGGTGGTGACGAACTGGGTCACACTTCGGCCAGGCTGACCTCGGGACTCCAGGGAAACTCCGAAAAGTAGAGAATGCTGGAGCCCGCACAACCAGTGAGGACGGGCCGTCCAAGTATTCCAGGTAAGTTGTTAGCGGAGAAGAAAAGTTTCTCGGAAAATCCGACAACAAAGAAGTCAACGGAGTCTCTGCTCTCGTCAACTCGAGCTTGGCAATGAACATTGATTCATTGGACCAACTGACAACTCGAATGGGGCGTTTAAGATTGAAGAGAACAGAGCAATACTGGTTTTGACAATCTTCGTCGTTAACGAACTGGCATCAAACTATGAAGAACAAGAAGTCAAAACGCTCTATATGGACTTTGAGAAGTATTACAGAGAGAATACATTCCTTAAAGTCATCACTGGAGACTTGCACGTCAAGAATGGACCAGAAGAACGTCTGAAGAAGGACACATTGGAACTCGCGGGTAAGAATGGAATGAGCAAAGTGAGCGTCTGTCTGAGTTTATCATGACGACCATGACGATTCGTTGGTAACTCGCTATTGCAGAATCCCCACTCTCGACGCTGGAGGTGAGAGTCTCCCAATGGAAACTACCATAACTAAGTAGATTACATCACAGTAAATCAAAAGCTTTGCCTTACCCATGTCGCTGTTGTCCAAAATTCTACACGGGATCATTCCGTTGAGCGTAACTGAGGTATAAATCACCAATCCTTCCCACAAAAAACATCGTTTTAGTGAGATTTAATCGAAGATCAATTTCTTCATAGGCTTTATCAAAGTTGCCAAGCATTCGCTCCACTTGACTAATGTTTGATATTATAAGAACGATGCCATCAGCAAAGCGGTGGTGTAATTGCCGACCATCAACTTTCACTCCCATGTCGTCCCATACCAGTGTTTGCTTGACGCTCTCGAAGGTGATGATAAAGAATTTAGCGAGACGGTATCGTTTGCCTAACCTCTCATTTGACGTCGATATTAATATCGTTTATGGTGATATCTTGGCCGCAGACGCCTCCTTCGCGAAAGGTCTCATTCATTTCTCGCGGAAAGAAAAAAAAGCCGCTAAATTCGAAAAACGAAATTCTAAAACCACCACGAACGGGGTTTACTCAGTTCATTCGTCGTTTGCTGAAAAGATGCCGTTCTTCATAACATCGACAAGGAATACCACCGGCTCATTCAACATCAAATTAGCGTTATAGTAACTGAGGATTGGAAACGCGTCAAGAAGACATCTGTCCCCAGAAACACCAGAGTTGAAACGCCAGCGTTGAATCACACGACGTACAGTCCTCATAGACAATACATAGGCAACAGGAACTCACGTTCGAACTTGCAAAATAATGCAGACAGGCGATAAAAGAATATCTTAGAAAGAGGAGAGCAGTAGTTATTATCGAAGCTGCATCTCCTGTATCACCTGTAGCTCCGTTGATCGTCAAGCGGCTCGAGCAGCGGCCAGTAAATGTTCCACAACTCCCTGTCACGTGCAAGAGTAACCCAGTGGGTTCTGCTCGCTCTAGGGACTCGTCGAGCATCATATCTTTCTTCTAGGCTTCTCGTGAAGAACTCTGACCATCGGATCGGCGGTCTTCCTGCAGTACGTTTGACATCCCAAGGAATCCAGTCAATAATGGCTCTCGTCCATCGGTTATCATTCATACGCATTATGTGTCCGGCCCACCTTATCTTCGACTGTTTGGCGAACAGAACGACATCTTTGATCTTTGATCGTTGACGCAGATCGGAGCTGCGAAACCCTTCCCTTACTTGTGTCAAGCGGGATACTCCTAGCATCGTGCTTTCGACTGAGCGTTCAGTAACGCTGAGTGATTTTTCATCCTGTTTATGCAGCTACCCGGTTTCTGATGCATACGCTAACGCAAGAAGTATCGTTGAATCGAAAAGGTGGGCACGGAGTCAGGTGTTCCTTGTTCTCCTCACTACATCCTCGACGTTGTCAAAGATCCCCAAGCCGCTAGTTTCCTTCTGCTCAACTCTAGAGCTGCCATTTTCATCATGTTGGTATCCAGATCTAGACGGATATAACTGGAGCATTCGGAGATATTCGTTCCATCGAGCGTGAAAGGGGCACACGAAACCAATCCGTTCCTCATCAGTATTGTTTCTGCGAGATTTAGTCGAAGACCAATCTTTTCACAGGCTTTATCAAAGTCGGTAAGCATACGTTCCGATTGGCTGTTTGATGTTATAAGAACGATGTCAACAGCAAAGCGAAGATGGTGTGATTGCCTACCGTCGATTTTCACTCCCATATTATCCCATTCCAAAGTTCGCATGACGTTCTCGAGGATGGTAGTGAATAATTATGGCGAGATCATATTGCCTTGCCTAACCCCTCTTCTGATGTCGATGTTAATATCGTTGTAGAATGGTGATATCTTGGTTGTGTGTAAAAATTTTTGTAAAGCTCACGAAGAATCTTTATATACTGATACTCATAATTATATTATACTCCTTGACTATCACGGGTTTCCATGACTGCTTCTATCTCACTTGAGTCAAAGGCCTTCTTCAAATAGATGAAAGTGGAACAGGGCGGTCTTTTGTACTCTTGCGATAGTTCAATGGGTCTCGTTATGGCGTGGATGTGGTCACTCTTACTAAATCCTTTTCGAAACCCTGCTTGATCATGAGGCTGCCCATCGTCCATAGTTCTGCCAACCCTATTTAGGGCCCTCAAGTGAAAAGTTTGTAGACGATAGACAGCAAACAGATAGAGCGATAGTTGCCGATATCGTTGACGTCACCCTTATTGAAGAATATCACGGTCTTGCTGGTCTTCCATTGAGTAACGATCTCGCATTAAGACAGGTAACGTGTTAAGAGCCGAGCCAGTGTGTTTACAAGGACTGGCGGAAGGTTCTTCAGGTATTCTGATCTTATTCTGCCTGGACCTGGTGCTGTTCGATTTTTCAACGGCGAAACGGATTTCGGAAGGAAGAACCGGTGATAAAACATATCGATCCTCCTTTGCTTCATATGCTGGAAGGTGGACGTGGCTATCGAAGAGATCTGAGTAGTATTCGTGAACGATTTTCTCCATTACCTTTCTGGACGCTGCAACTGTTCTGCCTGGGCGTCGGAGTGCAATCATTTTGGTCATGTAATTGGTGAAGCTTCGGTGAGCTTTGCGAATGCTTTTCCCAGACTCAGCAGCTTCGACCATTACTGCTGCTCTTCCTCCCTTTAAGATTTTCTTTTATCGCCTGTCTGCATTGTTTTGCAAGTTCGGACGTTAGTTCGCTGTTGCCTGCAGCTTGTGCAATTCCTCGCTAGCGTATCAGCTCGAGTGTTTCTGTAGACAGACGTCTCTTCGTGACTTTCGAACTCTCAGCTTTCATAGCGCTAACGTAAAGATGTTGAATGAGCCTATCGTATTCGTCGTCTATGTTATAGACAACGACATCTTTCCAGCAGCCGACTAATGAATTGAATAAGTTCCAGTTTACGGTGGATCTGGGACTTCGGTTTATGAATTTAGCGGCTTTTCTCCTTTTCGCGATTAATAGAACCTTGTACGAAGGTGACGGTGGTTTGGTCCCGTGTAGAATTTTGGGACAACGGTTAGGCAAAACCTTGTGTTTACTATGATGTGGTCTATTTCGTTATAGTACTTTACAGTACTTTCCATTGTGAGACTCCCATGTCCAGTGTTGAGGGTGGAGCTTCTGAGATTGCGAGTTACCATGGATAGTCTTGGTCACCATGATAAACTCAGTTAGCCGTTCACCCTGCTCGTTCCATTCTAATCCATGGGTCCCAATGTAACGTTCTTCAGACGTTCTTCTTGGTCCAATCTTGGCGTTGAAATTTCCAATGATAACCTTGAAGAATGTATGGTCTCCTCTGTAGAAGTTCTCCAAGTCCATATAGAGTGCTTCGACTTCTTCTTCGCCATAGTTTGATGTAGGCGCGTAAACGACGAAGATTGTCAAAGCCGTTATTGCTCCACATCTTTTTAATCGTAAACGTCCGATTCAGGTTGCTGGTTGTTAGAATGAGTCCATGTTCCTGGACAAACTCGTGTTGACGAGAATGCCGACGCCGCCGACTCCTCTACTGTCTCATGTTCCGACGAACAGTTCTTCTATGATGTCATAGACGGCGTTGAATGGATGGCGTGATCTCCTCTCAGAAAGGCAGACGGCGTCGTAACTTATCTTTCTTGCTTGCATGATCAAGTCTTCCACCAAGGACTCGGATGCAAGTATACGTGCATTATAGGTACATATCGTCACTTCAGTTCTTTGCGATCCAGGTAGCTTACATTCGCCTTGAGATTTTAGCAGCCTCTCCGTACTCGTCCTACCCAACGCTGCCGAATAGAGGGCTCATTCGAGGTCAGGAGAATGAGGCCCGTTTCTTTTACTGTGTTTGGAATTTTGATACCCACTTATAGCTTGCTGGGCTCTGAACGTGGAGGCTGGGTATACTCACGGGTAGCTTGCCAATCTCTCCCAAAGTGGACATGGAGCTTATTTGTTGTAGGCAACTCCTAACCGCCTTCCATATCCTTCCCCGTCACTTGATTGCAGACTTTTGGCCGAATTGACTCGAATACAGTCCGCATGAACTAGAACGCACTCAAAAACGCGTGCATGAATACGCCTTGTAAATAAAGAAAGCATGTGCAAAATCGGAGCAGCAGAAGCAGGGAGTCCGTCCTATGGATTCACCCGCGTCTCAGCGAAGCAAAGGTGTATTGTGGTCCGCGATTAGCCCCCTATACACCACCCGGTGACGCGTCATGTAGCCTCGCGACTAACCTGCTCGAGATCCCTCATATGAGGGAGATCCATTGCGAAGTTGCAGAGGATGGGAAAAGCATTACCAAAGCCAACCGAAGATTCGCCAATTACAAAACTAAGACGATTGCACTCCGGCGCCCATGCTGAACAGTTACAGCGTCCAGAAAGGCCGTGGGGAAATTCACTTACGATTACCACTCAGATCCTTTTAATAGCCGCGTTCTCTTGCCCTCATATTAAATAAAGGAAGATGATTACGTTGCACCATGGGTTCTTCCTTCCAAAATCCGACATGATAACTTCGGTGAAAAAACGAACGACGCTAGGTCTGGAGAGGACAAGATCTAAACACCAGGAGAACCTTCCTTTAGTCCTCATAAACAACTGGCTCGGCTTTTCACACGTTACCTGTCTGAATTCTAGGTTCCTTTCCAGTGGATGACCGGCAAGACTGTGCTGTTTTTCATGAAGCATGAATTCCACGATCAACTTTTCCTAATCTGCTTTCTGTGTGTCGTCTACAAACTTTTCACTGGAGTCGTCCTAAATAGGATCGATACAACAGCATGTGCAGGTTCTTTGTGAGCTGTATGAAGAGTCCACAACCAAGATATCACCATCAACGATATTAACATTGATGTCGAAAGAAGGGTTAGGCAAAGCGTCTCATCTTGCCAAATTCTTTACCACCGCCCTCGACAGCGTCAAGCAAACACTGCAATGGGAGGACACGACAGTGAAAACCGATGGTCGGCAATTACAGAATTTTCGCTTTGCCGATGACATCTTTTTTATAACATCAAACATTAGCCAAGTGGAACGAATGCATGCGGACTTTGACTAAACATGTGGAAAAATTGCTCTTCGACTAAATCTCACAAAAACAATGTTCATGATGAACGGATTGGTTTCGTATGCCCTATTGACGCTCAGCGGGACGAATACTCCGAATGCTCCAGTTACGTCTATCTAAATCTGGAAATCAACATTATGAACAATTTAACTTCAGAGTTGAGCAGGAGGAAGCGGGCGGCTTCTGAAAGTTTCAGGACCATCAAAAATATAATGAAGTGAACAAAGAACATTGGACTCGGTGTCCACCATTTCGACTCCAAGATTCTTCCTTCTTTAACGTATGCGTTAGGAGTATCGCGCATTATGCAAGTGAGAGAGGGCATCCGAAGCTCCGATCTGCGTCAACGATCAAAAATCAACGATGCCGTTTTGTACGCCAAACAGTCGAAGATAAGGTGAGGCAGACACGTAGTGCGTATGAACGACAACGGATGGACAAGAATCATCAGTGAATGGAATCTTCAGGATACCAAAAGTAGCTCCGGAAGACCATCGACCCGATGGTCTGAATTTTTCATGATCACCCTAGAAGGAAGATATGACGCTGAAGGAGTCCATAGAACGCTCAGAACCCACTGGACAACTCTCACACGCGACAGCGAGAAATGGAAGATTTAGCAGCGCCTGGTTGAGTCACTTTACGCTTAGCGGGATGACGGATGATGCAGATGAATTGATTGCTACTTCACCTCCACTCACCATGATTAACAACGGCTATCGCATCGAGTGACTACATATAAAAAATACCAATAGATAATCAACAAATATTGAGGAACCATCTACCAAATCCTGGCCTCAACTTGACTGGATATCAGACGAGGTTTTCGCCATCATACAGAAGGGTTAGAGGCGTTCCCAGCGAGGCACAACCTATGGAAGAATTCACAGTAAAGCAATAAAAGCCAGCACTGCTAACAAAATGCAGAGAAAATCGAAATTCAGAGCAAAAATAAGAGAAAAGAACAGGCGCAATGCCTCATGCGCAACGAGTTGCTATCAATTCATTGACGGTGCGACGAAGAGTTAAAAGTGGAATATATGATGTAACCACATGAATTCAGGCATTGGTTTCTAAAAGTTAGAATGCACACCACTTTCCACCGTTTTGGTTGCTAGGAAATTCGGGATTCACTGATTTTCCTAGATGTTGCGGATCTCGGAGAATATCTCTTTATTAAGTTATTACATCTGCTAGTTGTTCCTAGAGTCACACTACATTCTTACTTGGATACTTGCGTGGTCCGTCTTCACTAGTTGCGCAGCCCCCAGCATAATCTTCATTGTTTCGTAGTTTTGTTGGTTTAGCCATTGTGTATCCCTGGAGTCCCGAAGATAGGCTGACCAAAGTCTGCCTCAGGTCGTCACCACCTCAAGCAGTCGCCGCCCTTGTGGATCAGAGGAAGATTTGCCACCATGCGAGACCAGTTTGGTACCAGTATGGTGACGGATCCTGGTATTGGTTTACTCTTAGCTGGACTTCCTCATGGAAACGCCGGACTCCTCCTCAGCCTGGGAAACTCTGCTGGAGGATGAATCCCCCACTGTACATCGCAGCCCGACATCCACGAATACCTCCGCATTAAGTTCTACAGAAATTAAATCAACGCTTCCCTAAAATCGTCAAAAACACCTCTGTATGCAAATTTCCCGCTAATTTTCAAAAACTAAAGGAAATATTCCGTTGCTTTACTAAACCTGTATGAGAAGCTTCGATACCCAAATTAAAATTGGTTCTGAATATTATAGCAGCCATTAACATGAAAACAATTTATTCTAGGATAGCGACTTCGCTCCGGAAAGAAAGAAAGAAAGAATAAAAACAGGGAAAACTTAAACAAATTGCAATTAGCTTGGCGAAACAACCTTTTTGAAATAAGATTTAATTCAGAGATTTTTCTGCCAATCTCCACAAGCCATCAGTTAAAAAATGTACATTTTCGATGCCAACATCTTTGTTAACAGATTGTATATCTTCAGAACTCATCTTCATTTGACCGATCGCCAACGCATGTTGTTTACCCTAGATAGAAGGATTCGCTCAAAATATGAGTACACTGCACAGTTCTCACTAAATTATACTGGACCGAGCACTGAATCCCAGTTAACAAGTAGTTACCTCCTTTGCGAGGTAAACTGCAACCCACCTCAGCCATAATCGCTACAATCGCATCTGGCTGAATACCGGCCGTCATCTTCGCGCCTGGCGAAGTCAATCCTGGACACATAATAGACGAACCATTCAACACAAATTTTATAGCTCCTTTGTCAACCTGAAAACTCTAACCTCATAAATAAATATAATCGATATAAAAAGGTCTTGATGCAGACGTCCGTTTAGAAATTCGTAGATAAAGGAATTACACTTGCCTGCTGATGAGGTAAAATAAATGGATATTTATGCAATAAGCGAAGAGTTGGCACCCATTCTGTATTTCTAGTCTTAAAGAACTGTACAATACCATTATGATCGGCTATGAGCTCCACGTGATCCTTACACTTTATCAGCTTGAAGTTTTCCTGTAAAATAAAAGAGTGACACATAAGTGGCTGCATGGATTACGATGCTACCTTTTTCGGAAGAATATCTGGTAAGTACGGCTCGATGTGAGGATATGATTCAACGAGCTTATTACGTATTCCTTTCTGAAATTAAAACAGCATAACAATCACAACGATGGTGAGATATTCGCAAAACTTGGACACAGGGCCAGATCGAACCACGATTACCCTTTCCGAGGAATCGCGCATTACTGCACCTTTGCTCTGCATTTCTCTCAGATAGTTTTCTACCTAACGTTGCCATCAATAATCACCCGTCACCGGGATTGATCCGGGGAGCACAAATCGGCACTAAGTCCTGTTATGCTGAGGCTACGGTCAAAATTACATTGTTAACCTTTTTTTGCTACCTACGATATTTTCTCACCGCAGGGTATGACGTGAAAACGCAGAGCGAGGACCTTTGTAACGCAGTGTGTAATGCGCCACCCCTCTGAAAGTGTAATTGTGGTTCAATATGGCGCTGTGCCCAGGTTTTGCGAATAAAGCAGCACATTTGACAGCTTAAATTGGAATAAAGAATTTAAACTGAGCACCTGGACGGATGACTTCAACTGAGTTGCGCCAGTTATGTCCTCTTTATCATCGAATTTCTTGAACATTCTAAACATTCTTTCAGTCTGACTTTGTCATAAATACAAGCATTTGTCGAATATGTTCGATGTAGTATTCAGACAACTTCCAGAAGAGCGAAATGCTTCACAATGTGCTAATATTAAGTATTTATGCACTAAGAACCACAGAAAAAAAACGATGAACTATGATAGAACAAACGAAAATCGTAGGAACATGAACGCTCTAAGGGAAAATTTCTGATAAGCACTATTTCAACATGTTCTACAGTCCACATGCTTCCAAACGGCAGGCTAAAGTGAAGTGAAAAACAACAACAGCTAAGCGATAGGTCCACAGAACGAAACAATGATTATGACATTAGCAAAATGTAGCTAGTAGTAAATGCTGCGAGTACGGTGGTATGGAACCTAAAACCATATAAAGTCTTGAGTGAGAAGAAATTGTAAAACTCTGAAATCGTGCAGACAGTGCGGGATAGCTCACCGCTTCAAGGAATACCTTTCAAATTATATTCAAGCTAACGCGGGTACGTGGGTCAAAGAGAAGAAAACCACAAGGTAGCTACCTTTCGTTCGATTTCTGCAGCGTGTTTACGACGATATGTCCATGCAAAGATATCGACATCCATAGCATGGACCGGCCGTACTGCATCACCTTCAGTCGCTTGAAGCTTCCGAATTGCTAGCACAATGAGCTGAAATCAAAGGCATTACAGCTCTTTGACACAAGCAGTAGGATAAAAATTCCTTGAAAAAAATTGTAGTAGGCAGCAAATAAAAAACCAACATTGTGATTTCAAGTACAGTCTCAGCTTAACTGGGTTCAATGCCGATTTGTGCTCCCCAAGTCAAACCCGTTGCCGGGTTATTGCTGATAGCACTGATTGACAGAACTAGCTGAGAAACAGGCGAAACGAAGGACCCACATGGTCTGGTGGTTAACGAGTTAGCCCCCGGAAAGGGGAATTGCGCGTTCGATCCTCACCACAGACACCTGCGGTCCGTAGTTTTGCAAATATCTCAGCATCACTATAATAGGACAACATTCACACTAAGCAAAATCCATTAAACAAAATACGAACAGAGTACGTAACTTCATAAAAATACTCCGGTAGCAAAGTTTGTTTTTGTGAACGAGCGAGAAACAGGACTACTTGCACGAAGTATAAAGCTAAAAAAATAAATCTCTCGGCGTTGATCAATTCCTAGAGGATGCGCCATGCATTCGACTTCGTTAAGTATCGTTGGAGGTGACTGAACGCATATTTGGCCTTCACTATGACTCGCGGTGGCCTCTCAGACCACTCTGGTACCAATTTCCCGACCCCGGAGTGATGGAAGACTTCGTGAGCCATAGGCGCGAGGATTGATTCCAAGTGTGTGTAGCAGGGCGCCCGCCACCACTGCGGCACACGCGCCCTACATGAAGCACAATGACCGATGAACTAAAACCTGTATACCATATCTTTTTCCAAGCAATCCGATTAGTATAACTTTGATAATAACATGGTACTCACAAATCTCTCTCTCATGAACAAGAGCGGTGACTGCCTGTGGTGGTGATAACTTGGGGCAGACTTTGGCCCAGCTAACTTTGGAACTCCAGAGGACCACAATGGCTAAGCCAGCAAAACTCCGAAAAAAACGGAATTTATGCTAAGACCCGCACAACCAGTGAAAATGGGACACCAATTATCTAAGTAGTATCGCGATAGAGTACATAAAACCGCTGAGCCAGTGACACTAAAAATCTTTTTTAACTAGAAGATCTAAATAAAACTGATACATCACATCTCAAAAAGTCATCTCAGCAAATGGAAGCACAACGTCCTTTCGGCATAGACCTCGACCTATAAACCGATTTAACTGCTAAACTACGAAATAAAATAGAAAGTTACTTCACAAGCCCATATCGAGGCTCCACGTAATTCTACTTCTTCATGACTTCCACTGGGAAGAAGGTGACCATGCGTCAGCATGCCCATCAATTCTTTTGAGTATTCCAGCACACCGAGAAAAGCAAGAGCTTGTGGTACGCGGTAATCAGCAAACATGGTTAGACACCTGAAATTGTGATGCTCAACATCTCATAGACTCTCACTTTCATAAGATAGACCCTTAAACAAGGATTCGGCAATATTTTAGGGATGAAAAGCTAACCCAATATCTGAGAAAGTGCATTCAGGATTCTCGTCTTTCAAAGCGCCGTACACATCCGCTACCAGAATTTGTGCACGTTTCAAAAAGGAGACTTTGAAAAAATACATTTAGGATAAAAGAGACCACCTTATAGGGATACAGCAAATTAGTGGATGGAAAACAAAGCATCTAGTAGAATTAAAACTCACCTTTTTGCCCATAAAACACCGCGAAATCTCTGAATGACTCGAAATTCTCAACAATGATTTCCAGCAACTTCACTGCGCTTCCATTCGCTGCTACGACACAGTTGTAGAACGAACCATCAAATTTCTAAACTAGTAGGCACAAGAAATTTACCTAAGCAAATCCAGTGCAAATGTTAACTGCACAGTCACATGGATTCCAGCTACCGAATAGCGGTGCTGACCTCAATCAGAACTCTGCCGGACTCATTGATGGCTCTAACACGCTCAGCCAGTAGTGGAATAGAATATCCTGATAAAAAGTCAAGTTAGTACATCCTGAATGGAAATTAAGGCAACATGTAACCACTTTATATTAACTGCCTATTTTCTTACGACAGGGTATGACGTGAAATACACCCATAATGGTACTGAGGTATTTGCAAAACTCCAAACCACAGGTGTCTGCGGTGGGGATCGAACACGCTATTACTCGTTGCTGAGACTAACGTGTTCATCACAGCACTATGCGAGTTCTTCGTTTCGCCTTTCTCTTAGCTACTTTTTCTACCCCTAGTTCCATCAGTAACCGCCCATTGACAGGATTGATCTGGGAAGCACAAATCAGCATTGAACCCAGCTATGCCGATTTGTGCCCCAGATCAATCCGTTGGTGAATAATTGCTGATAGCACATATAAAACACGGTTGAGGGAAAGGCGAACGAAGAAAGCGCATGGTGTGATGGTGAGCGCGTTAGCCCCGGAAAGGGGAACAGCCAGTTCGACGCGTACCGCAGACACCTGCGGTCCGGAGTTTTCCAAATACCTCAGCACCATTGTGGATAAATTTAGACAACACGTGTACACGACAGGTGGGTCCTCATCTTGTCAACAGTAACACACCATCAACGGACTTGAGTATAGTGTCCACGTCTTCTTCTTGTGCATTTGCCATCCATTCTGCTGACGTGATATCGAAACCTGACTCTAGTGCCTAGGATTCCAAGCACTTCAGTAAGAAATGACGTGACAACGAAACCACAAACTCCTGGTTACACACCTTGTTAACAGCAGCGCATACAGCAAAATAGCCCGTATAGCGGACTCCATTGTAGGTGACATCGTATTTGGAGCCCTTGTCTGGCCAAAAGGAGAAGTTGATCGTATCGACGAAAAAGACCCTATAAATCAACTGAAAAAGACTGTTAAATGTCAGCAACGATGCAAATAAAAAAGAAATTGAGTGAATGCTAATGCTTTACCAATCCACGGCAGATTTGCCCTTTTGCTTGGGATGAAGTGCTTGCGCAGCAAATTCCGAATCGACAATGGATCCATTACTGATCGAGTCCAAGATCTGAAAGACGAACCAAGAAATCTTCAGCACCTACTTCCACAGTACAATACAGAATCTTTGGACTAAAACCTGAGGTCGCATGCCATCGTGGATTTTCTTTTAACAAGACCGAAGCTTTCCTCTCATGAACAACTCGAAGTACAAAAGTCGAATAACTAATGCACAGCAAACATGGGAAATCAAACAAAACGATAACAGATGAATCCAAAGTATTTCAGCCTCACCATTCTTGCCACTTTTTGAACAGCTTCATCGTTAATTCTGACATGACTCGCGTGCTCGACAATGAACTTTCCCGATTCAAATGGTGACAGAGCTCCGTTCATCCTGAAAATCCATAGATATCCGCAGCGCTGTTCCGAAAGAAAGATAAAAACGCAAACTACAAGGCAGTACTAACACAACCAGCACGAAATTACATGTGTCGTCTGCAAAAATACGTATGTGTTTGCGGACGGTCCGTAATAAAACGCGCTAGCACGTTTCTAAATCCGAAACACTGCTAGTTACAATGTGGAGATATTGGCTGTACTGATTTCGATTTTCCAGACCGTTGCTGTACCAAAGGTAAGGAATTATCAGTACAAAACTGCGAGCATTTCAGTTTTTCCACTTGTCCAAGTGTATCGTTCCTTTTGCTACGAACTATCCTTCCTGGCCTGGCAAGTTGTTAGCACATTCTTTGATTGTCAAACCTTACCAGCAACATCTCGCAAATGACGTTCCATAGAAGCGACCTAGCTTACTAATGCTAAGGTTAACTGAAAGTTGCTCTTTCGAATTGTCCCAGTGTTTCATTAAAAAAAAAGATTCTTAGAAATACAAAGGAGTGTCGCCAAGACCCTCATCCGTTGTTAGAAGTCGCAGTACTTCTTCCATAAGTAAAAAAAATAAAGGATAAAGCTCACGGCGTTGGTCATTGCGTGAGGGATGCGCCTTGCATCCTACTTCACTAAGCACCGTTGGTTGAGACTGAGTGCTTGTCTAGCCTTTACAATGACTGGCGGTGCCCTTCTGATGTATCGAGTCAGTGCTGCTATCGTACTAGACAAGTCTGGCACGAATTTGCCGATCCCGGAGGGTTGGAAGGGTTGGTGGGCCAGGGTCGCGAGGATCAATTCCATGTGTATTGCAAGACACCTCCGACCACTGCACCAAACACGCCCACTCGATAGTTATTCTCCTCTCATGCTCCGCTAGTGATAGTGGGGTAAGTCGAGCTGTACGTGTTGGCTCCATTAATTCCTTTTCCAGACCAGTGCTGCGCAGTTGGTTCTTTTGTTCTGAATCACGACGAACGTCATCATTCGCTTCCAAGGTTTTCATTCAGAAGTCTTATCATCGTGTCGCTGTAGGAGTAATTGTTTGTAAAACATCCCTTGTCACCTTCGATCCAATCCGTTCAACTTCCACTGGCCCACACACCGACTCCTGTCCAACAATAACCATTCTGGATATCCGACCATTGTTTGCTTTCATTTGATTATCTGAGTCGATTGGCTTCTGGAATCGTTATACTAGTGCATCATTGGATGGCCTTAACGACGGTTTCATCCTGCTTCTTAAACACAAGTATATTGTATGCAAGAATAAGTGTGGAGGTGTACGTAAGGACATGGTTTTGTGTTTTTATGCTTTTCACTAACTTTGGAAAATTGTATGCATCCGATTGCGCATTCAGCTTTCCCTACCGGCAATCTCAGTGGTTTGTTGTGCTGATTTTCCATTCATTCAATGAATGAATGGGATTTTCAGTGGTAGGAGGAAGTGCGGCACATAGCACCCTAGCGGTACTTTTGTGAGCTTCATACCAATATGTTGTGATCGATGACAGTGGAATGTTTCGTAGTCCAGCATGCTTGCTTGGCAGGCTTTTTAGCAGTATTTCATGATAGCTGGTCGAGTGTTGCCAGCTGTTTTGGTACAGAATAGACTAGTTGGGTATAAAATGGGCGCTTGTCTTGCTTCATACGGTGGCATTTACACTATTGTTTTATGTTATGATACGAACTCTTTAGGTGTGGTAGTCTTTCTGTATGTTGTCTGCCGTGCTTTGGATTAACTAAGTAGGTGGTGTTCTCATCTTACTGTAGTAGCTACTTGGATACTTTGGTGGCCCGTCCTCACTTGTTGTGGGGACCTAAGCACAACTTTTATTTCTTTGGAGTTTTGCTGGTCTAACCAATGTAGTTCCCTGGAATCCCGAGGTCAGCCAGGCTATAGTCTCCCCCATGTCGTCACCACCACAGCAGTCGCCACCTCTTTTGATCAGAGGGAGACTTGCCACCATGTGACAGTTTGATGCCAAGACGGTGGTGGATCCTGGTATTGGTTTACTCTTAGGTGGGCTCCCGAATGGAATCCCGGACTCCTCAGCTTTGGAGACCATGCTGGGAGGATGAATCTCCAGTTGTACATCGCAGCCCGACAGCCAGGAACACCCAGCCACGATGAAGCGGTAATCCGTTAGGAGCACTGCGTGGATAGGTATAATTATATACATAAAGTTGGAGTGGTTGTGGGTAATCCTCTCTGCTGTGATTAGGGACACGCCAATTTTCTCCAGCGAATATGTGAAGGCCTTGTTTTGTTTTTGTATTCTGAGAAATTTTTGATGAGGCCATTTAGAGGATTCTTTATGACCGTAATGGAGACACTTCGCCCGCGGTTTTAATCCACAGTCATTGTTGTCCTTGTCGTCCATGGTGGTTTGGTTTCGATCGATTCTCACGTCCTCAGAATGTTTGCTTTGGATCAGTTTACACGTTTTCATTATTCTCTTGTTTCGTTTTGGAAAATACGTTGTGTTCATCAGAATTTCTTTCTAGTCTGGTTATAAAGTTGGTATGGTAGTAGATATGACATACGGGTTTCTCTATTCAGCTGTTTAAAATGCTTCTAAAATATTTTTGTTGCAGCGAAATGTTAAGTAATGCAGGGCCAAAACAGTGAAAACTTATTTTAATCACAAAAAAAGAAGAGGCAATTGGTGTAGAATGTCGGTGCACGTTGTCAGACGTTCCAGATTGAATCAAACTCTTTTACCTGAGTTCTTTTCATGCTCTCCTTTCCCAAGCCACGTACTACATCAGCTGTGAGGTTTCTAAGTGGCCCTTTGTAAGAAGCACGGATGGTCGAGATTTCCAACACTGTCTAGTATGAGCATAATAAAAAATGACAAGTTTCTCGGCGTTGATCAATCCCTGAGGGATGCGCCCTCCTAGACAGGTCTGGCACCAATTTGCCTACCCCGGAGAGATGGAAGGCTTGGTGGGTCAGGGGCAGGAATCGATTCTTGTGTATTGTGGGGCGCCTTTGACCACAGCGATACACGTACCCTTGTTCTGTCATGAGTATAGCAGGATCAATATTGAATCTCAATAATTTTACAGTATTCACCATTCCCAAAGCTTCATATTTGTCCATCTGCAGTTCGGTTGATTGACATCGATTATTTCTGGTCAACAAATATCTGAAGATATTTCTCCAACACCTGCAGCGGTCGAATTATGGATGGTTTACACGTGCCTCCTATACTCGCAGCGGCACATATTTCCTGTTGCCGACCTCAAACCATCTGTCAGTGGCTTCTGAATCGTTAAAATTATGCATTGTGTTGAAACTGTAAGCTATAAACATTATATTTTACAATGTTTAACGTTTTGTTTTCTGCCTTCTATAATTCTATAAACAAAACGTTAAACATTGTGATTTCAACTACAGCCATAGCTTAACTGGGTTCTATGCCGATTTGCGCTCCCCAGATCAACCCCGCTGACGGGTGATTGCTGTGGCAAAAAGATCGATAGAAATAGCTGAGAGACGTGCGAAACAAAGGACCCGCATGGTGTGGTGGTGAACGCGTTACTCCCCGGAAAGGACAATAGCGCGTTCGTTCCCCATCATAGACACCTGCGGTCCAGAGTTTTGCAAATATCTCAGCAACGTTGTGGTTGTATTTCGCTTACTTAGTAACCTGCCATGAAAATTATAGAAGGCAGAAAACAAAACGTTAAACATTGTGATTTCAACTACAGCCATAGCTTAACTGGGTTCTATGCCGATTTGCGCTCCCCAGATCAACCCCGCTGACGGGTGATTGCTGTGGCAAAAAGATCGATAGAAATAGCTGAGAGACGTGCGAAACAAAGGACCCGCATGGTGTGGTGGTGAACGCGTTACTCCCCGGAAAGGACAATAGCGCGTTCGTTCCCCATCATAGACACCTGCGGTCCAGAGTTTTGCAAATATCTCAGCAACGTTGTGGTTGTATTTCGCTTACTTAGTAACCTGCCATGAAAATTATAGAAGGCAGAAAACAAAACGTTAAACATTGTGATTTCAACTACAGCCATAGCTTAACTGGGTTCTATGCCGATTTGCGCTCCCCAGATCAACCCCGCTGACGGGTGATTGCTGTGGCAAAAAGATCGATAGAAATAGCTGAGAGACGTGCGAAACAAAGGACCCGCATGGTGTGGTGGTGAACGCGTTACTCCCCGGAAAGGACAATAGCGCGTTCGTTCCCCATCATAGACACCTGCGGTCCAGAGTTTTGCAAATATCTCAGCAACGTTGTGGTTGTATTTCGCTTACTTAGTAACCTGCCATGAAAATTATAGAAGGCAGAAAACAAAACGTTAAACATTGTGATTTCAACTACAGCCATAGCTTAACTGGGTTCTATGCCGATTTGCGCTCCCCAGATCAACCCCGCTGACGGGTGATTGCTGTGGCAAAAAGATCGATAGAAATAGCTGAGAGACGTGCGAAACAAAGGACCCGCATGGTGTGGTGGTGAACGCGTTACTCCCCGGAAAGGACAATAGCGCGTTCGTTCCCCATCATAGACACCTGCGGTCCAGAGTTTTGCAAATATCTCAGCAACGTTGTGGTTGTATTTCGCTTACTTAGTAACCTGCCATGAAAATTATAGAAGGCAGAAAACAAAACGTTAAACATTGTGATTTCAACTACAGCCATAGCTTAACTGGGTTCTATGCCGATTTGCGCTCCCCAGATCAACCCCGCTGACGGGTGATTGCTGTGGCAAAAAGATCGATAGAAATAGCTGAGAGACGTGCGAAACAAAGGACCCGCATGGTGTGGTGGTGAACGCGTTACTCCCCGGAAAGGACAATAGCGCGTTCGTTCCCCATCATAGACACCTGCGGTCCAGAGTTTTGCAAATATCTCAGCAACGTTGTGGTTGTATTATATTTTACATCAAAATCAGCACATGGGCTCATGTAGCGCGGTGGTTAGTGGTGTGCTGCAATACACATGTGGTCTTTGGTTCGATCTAGCGCTCCGGGCTCACCATGCTTTCCATCTGTCTGTGGTTGGCCTGTTGATAACAGACTTATCTGGAAGGATGACGGCACTTGATACATCAGTGGGCCACCTTGAGTAATTATTTAGGCCAGATATGCATTCAGTCAACTCTGACGATGCCTAGTGAACGTCTGTCGAGGATCGATCATCATCAAACGTCTTAGCGTTTAAATGCACAGGTGTTTAGATATTTGCGTACGCACATAGTGATTAAGGAAGTTGCTTTTATCGCCTTAGGGCGACACAAATAAGTTCCTAGATTGGGCTATGATTCTTGAAGGACGGGAAATTGTCCACTTTTCGATAGTATTCCATGGTTAGTAAGAGCGAGGGGCGCGTGTAGCGCAGTGGTCGGAGGCGCCCTTCAATGCACATGGGTTTAATCTCCGTGCTTCAAGTCCACCAAGCCCTCCAACCCTCCGGGGGACCGAGATATTGAACTTGTCTGGGAGGATAGCAGCACGGGCTCGATACATCGGCAGGCCACCACGAGTCATTGTAAAGGCTGGATGTATATTCAATCACCAACAATGCTTAATAAAGTTGAATGCATGGTGCATCCCTAAGGGATTAATCTGCGCCGAGAGCTTTATCCTTTATCTTTTAGTGAGAGCCATGAGAACAAAACAATCACAGTATTACACATTTGAAGGGAGGTCCAGAATAAACACGTTTAAAAAGTTTCGATTAGATGAGAATTCCTACTTGTATGCATGCTAATTGTGCTACAAATATCTGTTGTTAATGGGGTCATTGTCGATTTTGGGAGGTGTCGAATTGATCTTTCGTAGTTCGTAGGAGTATTTTTGTGATTGGCAATAGTTTTGGTTGTTGTGTACTTTGAATATGATTTCTATCCCTTTCTGGTACGTTCGGAAAAGTGTTTTCAGGCTTGTAGTGGTTTCGATTAGTCGCTCCTAATATGATGCCTTTGTTGCATCTTGCAATGGAGCTTCTACCAGCTCCATGGATTGAGATGTTAGTAATGATCCAAGTCTATGTCTTTGCTGCAGTTTACGCTATAAAAGAACTGATGTTCGAGGTTTTTTATTCTCTTTTTATATTCTTCTTTCCCCCCTAGAGAACACATGTTTTGAAGGTGGTCAATCGAGGGATCAAAAAGCAACTTGAAAATGATATTATGAAATCGAACGCTATAAGATCTGCTGGTGCAAAGTGTGTGTTGATCACCGGAGGCGACGGTACAATCGGAAGTGAGGTGGGTGGCGAGCACTTAGTAATATTACTACTATCATTCTTGTCTTAACTCCCTACTTCAACTCATCGGAACGTGAAAAACATCAGCAGCATGCCATCATGATAGTTTCAGAATCACAATGATGTTCACAAGAAGAAGATCCCTTCAATATCATGTCGCTCTATTTCATTGATGAATTGGAAATTGGAGTATTAATTTTAGGTGATAAAGAGGTTTCTTCATTACGGTTATACCGTCCATGCTACCGTTGGCGACGTGAGAAAAGCAGTTGAGGTGTTCGAATCGCTTGGTGGTCCTAAGTTACCTCTTGCACTTTACGACGTCGATTTTCTAACTCCTTATGAGGTATGAAAATAGCCAGTATTTCATGTTGTCATTACTAGCCGAACAATATTTCTTAGGTGGCAATGTTCGCTCGTGGATTTGTGAGTCGATGTAGTGAACTAAGCGTTGTAGTGATGTGTGCGGGAACTATGTTGGCTGCTCCTGAGGTGTAGCAATTTTCTCCCCATGCTTTTCATTATTGTTTTATACTGGTTTGTAAGTGAACTATTTAATATAACTAGAGGAATTTTTCTCAGGGTGAGAAATAGTGAAGGGCGTATGTAGAGCAGTGGTCGGTGGCACCCTGCGATACACATGGGATCGACCGCCACGCTCAAGGATCACCTAACCTTCCATCTCTCTGGGATAGGTGAATAGGTACCGAACTTGTCTAGGAGGGTAGGATCACTGGCTCGTTACATCGGTAGGCCGCCGCATGTCATCGTGATGACCAGATGTGCATCAACTCACCTCCAACGATGCTTAATGTGAAGTCGAATGCGTGATGCATCCGTCAGGGTTTGATCAACGCCGAGAGCTTTATCCTTTACAAGGAATCCTGTACCTGTTGACAGTTTACTATGCTATGGACTAATGAGATGTTTCTCTATATTTAGAAGTACTATTGTGACACATTTTCCTAACGATTTCTTTTTTAAGTTCGTCGACAATGTGGAGAGTCATATGTGTGTCAATGTCGTGTCACAAGCATTGCTTCTACATCTTCTAAGTCCGGTATTAGTTCACGATGCTAGGATAGTGTTTACAAGCTCTGCTACTGCCAAAGTATCTCACTTCACGAGTCTCGTATTTCGTAAAGGTGGCTTTCGTCTTCTTATTCTTTTCGCTCATCAGTGTTAAGAACTGTTATTCCTAGGCTTCTATGTGTAATAGGTTATGGTCTATTATCATAAGTTCCTGTTTCGATGTACATTTAGGGTTATTGTTGCTTGCGAAGCGCTCTAGATAAATAGCGTCCAATTCATGAGTGTTCTGTTATGGTGGAGAAAAATGAAATGAAATGTTAAAACGAAAGAAAATATGCGTTCTTGTCAATTTTTGTCTCATTAGACGGATGGGGTAGACTTATGCAGTGTGGTTTCTTTACCCATTTGACAGTTCTGTAGGTTTTCTTTGCTTTAACGTTAGTTGTAATGGTTCTGTAATGCGTCTTCGAAAGGGCGGTGCTAGGAGTATTCCGTATCATGCAGGTGAGAGGCGGAATCCGAAGCTCCGACCAACGCCACCGATAAATAATATCGATGGCGCCGTTCTACGCTCCACATTGTTGAAGATAATCTAGGTCGGACATGTAATCCATATGAATGTCAAGCGCACAATGACTGTTGAACAGATGGTGAGAGTTCTTCACGAAAACTTTATGAGAAAGCTATGGTGCTCAACGATTTCCTAAACTGAGTAGAACCCATTGGGATATTCTTAAACGTTGCAAGGAGAAATAGAAGGTTTACTGGCGCTCGCTTTAGTCGAAGATCAGCTGGACGACAGGTGATATAGATGAAGGCTAATTGAGTCGCTTGTTTATTTTCAGATCCTTTGTCATACTATGTGGGACGGTACCAAGCGTACTGCTTTTCGAAGCTGGTCCTTTCCACTTATGTTGAGCAATTATCGAAGCGGAAGTATGTTTTTTTATGTATTTTTCAAAAGTTTTCCTCTTTGTAATTCGGCTTGTTTGTGAACAAATTTCACACTTTTAAATCGAACTCTTCGATATTTGTAGATCACAAGGTTTTGCCACCATTCATCCAGGCGTCATTCCGGGTACATTGTATCGTAATACCAACAGATTCGTGAGGTTTTTGACATATAGGATTTTGCCATACTTCTTGAGGTTTGACTTCACTTAATCCAGTTTTCATATCCAATTTCTAAATTTGCAGAATTTTTTCAACACTTACGCAACTACGTGAAATCTATGGGGAGTGGGGTATTTTTGTTGGAGCATTGTGCTGGTGTGACCTCTATTAAGGTCGTTTCTTCAGTGCGCAAAACTTTCACTACATTTTTTGTAATGATAATTTACAAAGGGATTTTTTTTTGAAAGAGTTGGTTTCTATGAGACTGTTGCTGGTGAAGGGAGTGATCACCAGAGAATCTACTGCTTTTTAACGGAGAGCAAAAACACTGTGGTAGTACTTCAACACCGAAATTTAGCCCTCAATGAGTTGTTTTTCTCCATTAAAGTGGAAAATCAGCAATAACACTTGCGTAAATGGATCGTAATATACGATAGGTTAAAGTGCAAAAGCTCTATCGTCTTAGAGTGTTAGACCAGTCTGTTTTAAAATATGTTAAATTGCCAAGTCCTGATGTAGTTTAGTTATCAGAAAATACGAGAATGAAAACTGGCATCGCCCACTGTGGAAGGCCATGATCATGGCAAGCAAGTGTTTATCCTAATTTCAATTGCCATGATGAGTCGTTGTTGTATAAAATGGGAGCATAAAAAAAATCACAAGGTAAGAAAGTACTATATTTTGTATAACTAGAAATTTATTGAACGCTGAACAGGTTTTTTTCATCGCATGCAAGTTGCATGTGCTCTGAAAATTTGGAGTTGTATAGAGAAGAACACTGAGTATACATAGGATGTGAGGAACGCAGAAGTTGCTTCCAAAACATCGAAAAATTGAATTATAGAGCGAAAATCACATTAAATTGCCAGTGGTTTTATTTTGGGAGAGGGAGTGGTCGGTGTGAATCCCATAGGTGTCGGCGAAAAATTACTCGTCGTTGCGTAAGTGTTAAAGCAATCACTTCAACGGAAGTGGCAATAAAACCCCTTAACTTTTAGGAAACCTGCGTTCAGTTCTTTGCTTATCGCTCATACAGCCTTACGTGACGATCTCGTTGGTGGATCGTATTATGAAGATTGTGCCGTGAAGTCCTTTGGAAGCGGGTTATCGGAAAAAGTACGTCATTTGTGCGATAATATTTTGTATAACATGCATTTATGGTAGTGAGGGCGACATTTTGACAACATTTTCCATCGTAACCTTTGAGAAATTAAACTTGGACATTGTTGTTGAACTTTGCGTTTGAGGGAAACTCCTAGCTTTACCGTACGCTAAAATTTTCCAGCTATTCCACCACCTAAGTAGTTTTATGTTTTCGAGTTTTTAGGATAAGCGTGCTATCTTCCAAGCTGTACAAATGCAGGTAGAGGCTTGGGCCAGGTTAGAAGATTAGAGCAATCTCAACTTGGTTTTCATTTTTGTGAATACATTTTTTATAAATAAATATTCTTGTTGGTGAAGGAAGTTTTAATGAACATAAAATGATAATGAAAGATGCTCATAGTTTATGGGTGACCTGATGTTATCACAACATTGGTTGAATCTCATCGCAGTGGCCATGTTCGCATCACCTACAAAGTAAGGTATAAATTGAAATATGGATTGAGGAACGTTGGCAGCTTACCATTAGTTGAATCGTTTCAGGTACAGAATTAATATAGGAGAGAAGGTTCTTGTCTCGTATTACATTTTTATGTGTGAGCTGTTCCGCTGCTGTTGATCGTACACTTGCACTTTCCACTAAAGTTAACTATTTATCGTCTTTTAGTTTTTCGACTTGTCACTGCGTATTCAGTAATGAGTCGTGTAGTCAGTCTATCAAATACCTAAAGCTAAACTGGTCCCTGAATATCTGCACACCATGTATTATTTCCCAATGTTCCTAAATAGTTGTGTATTTGACTGACTTTCCGAATAGTGAGAATTACTCTCGTGCAATTACCTTTGTAGGAGGGCATGTCGCGCAGTAGTTGGAGATGCCCTGCAACGCTTACGTGGTGTTTTCGATGCCCAGTCGTGGCCCACCAAGACTTCGATCTCTGTTGTTGGGAAGTATACGTGTCATAATTGTCTGAGACGATAGCAGCACTGACTTAATACATCGATACTTCGACACAAGCTCTTTTGTAGGCCAAATATGTATTCAGTCTCCCCACACAATAGTAAATAAAGTCTAATGCTTGGCGTACCCATCAGGTACCGCTCAACGCGAATTACTTTATTCTTTTTTATTCCTGTGCAGTTACGGCTTTATCAAATCTTATGGATCGCATGGACAAGTGCATGTATCTCCTTTGAACACAGGTATGGACAGATTTTTGTTAGCTAAGTCGATGTTCGTGCTAAGTTGACGTTGATTACACATATTAAATATCGCAGATCAGTAAAAGTTAATTGTACCACTTTTTTAAAATACATCCTATCCCATTTTCGTTGGAGTTATGATAGAGAATGTGGGTCAACTAGGGTCACAAGCCGCGCAGCAGCAAAAACGTTTCAAGAAAGTGTACAGTAAAGGACTTCGTCCGTGTATACGTCATGATAGTAAAACCTCTCATCTCTTTTGTATCGGGAAATTGATAGCATTCATTTATGGGAAGAGCTCGCTTCCATCCACAATGGTCGGCGAATACCAGCGATAAAGACATGCAGATGGCCGTAACATGGCTATGTTAGGATTCTAGAAATCTACTCAAGGAGCATTCGACGACACGCAACTAAAACTCGTAGGAAATAGCCGAACCCAATTTCGAATTCAAATGTTTCCGTGGATGATGGATTTGAGGGAACGACTCGATTGAAAAGAAACGGAATCCGTAGAAAATACGATGTCGGGTCGTATAAGAATAACAATGTCACGGTTGATGTCCTACGTGAAAGGTTATGTAGTAGAAACACGTGACTCCGTTAACTTCGGTGGTAGCCGGAAGTAAAATGGTACAATTTGCGATAGTGCGGTGAGTCACCACCATTTTACTAGTTGGTACTGAAATATCTACCGCAGCGTTAAAATTGTGGTGACCACCGATCTCATAGAACGACGCTCTTCAAGATACCTGTGATAAGCTTCTTATTATAGCCTTGACTCTGAATCCAGGTGACATTTCGGTAATTAGAGACGGTAACGGTTGAAATGGTGGCTTACACGAGAGGTAGCCATTTCAACATACAAATTTCTTTAGACGTGACTTCTTGAGACAGTCGTTAAAATGTTGGTGTTGCAGACTTTTTTCTTGATATAGCACTTATATACATCGGAATGGAATGCTTGGTTTTTAACGAAGATTTCTAGGACATTATAGCTTTTTGTAATTGAGTTTAATTGGCTAAGGTGAGGTTGTCTCCAGAAGAAATCCACTAATTACATTTTTGTACACTTCATTTACGTAAATTCTTTGGATCTTTTTATAGGCTTTAGTCATTAGTCTTCCTTCATACTTCTTACCTCTTGATTGGCCAAGTTTCTTATGCTAACGATCTCATGAATGTCTACAGAAGTGGGATTTTATTGATGACATTTAATGGATAGGACGGATAAGGAAGAGTTCTGTAGAACAATTTGTTCAACTCCTGGTGCACCGATGTCTTGCAGCAGAATCAAGCATTTCGACCTATCGGATCAATTCCGATCGGAGATATCGCAGTTTCTAGGGCATTTAGTCGACTTTCTAATCTCTTCTTTTTCTTATATGTTAAACAATGCGCTATACGTGGTATTTAAAACATTTATAAAAGGTTAAACATTTCGTAATGAATAACCCAAGGAAGATAATGGCAAGAATTTGGAATCTATTCGAGTCGAGACTATTTTTGTGCTCATCTAAAAGGATATCCAAAGTTGCTGATGTCTTGCCTATACCTGAATAATGTGTTGCTAGCACTACAGTAATGCTGAGGAAGGCGAATCGTAGCATATCGGACGGGTCGTCGACGTCAAGTGATCGCCACCGACTAGTTAGACGCTCAGACAATGAAAGAGATGGTGCGGACATTAAGCGACGGAAGCGAAGGAACGCTGGAGTGGAGGTCACTTTCGTCATTACTTAACGTAGGCTGCTCACCAATGACATCATTCTTTCCCTTCCTTTGAACTGTAACACGTGACGAACCGGTTTTTCTGTATGAAACTAGTACTTGATTTTAGGTCGTAAAATGAAACAGCAACCGTCGAATACTTCCAGATAAAGACATTCATTCTCAAACACCAAGAAAAATGTAATGCTAATACCGTCCTGAAATCAGAATGTCATCGTCTAACGGAAAAGACTTTATTCGGTTTCATAAACTGATTGGAAGGAACTTCAGCTACAATACGAATTTAGAAACAGACGGTTTCAGGAACGTTAAAATTCTAAGTCAATCTACGAGCTCACGATAGTAGCTCAAAAACAGATAGATGCCACCTCACAAATACCCTGAATACAGCGCAGTTGTTTTCTACAGTTTCTCCCACGTTCAAAAAAAGGCATTATCATTGATATGAACTGCAATATGTGAATCATACTCTTCATCCAGTTCTATTTTTCAAGGATCATTCTGGTAAATGGTGGGTCTCAATCATTTTTTTAAAAGTGTCCTCAATTGCAATGATTTTAGACGGAAGACGGTATTAGTACGAACACGTCATGCTCATCAAACCTCAGAAAAGGACACACTGATCCGCGAATGTAAGTGCACATAGATATCGTCGACAACACATGGAAGCCATCTAGTTTCCTCCTCTGAGGTGAAGTTGTGAACAAAAATTCCCATAATCTCCTGTATCTTCGGAGACGGTTGTATCTCCAACTAAACGATGTTGTGAGCGCAATGTGATCGTACTATGGGGCGCTGAAAATGAGAAATCACAGCCGCCCATTATGCTGGTGTAGCAGAGAGACTGATAAATATTGTGTCAACCCGTCAAAGGTAAAAATAGTTCTGTGGCCGTACAATTTAATATAGTAAATTTTTGGTAAAGTTCGATAGAAGGTGTAAGTGGGATTAGAAAAGCAAGATTAGATTCACCAGTGGCAATGTTTCGTTAACAAGGAACAGCGAAGAAAATTCTAGGAGGTGACATTGATTTGATAGCAAATACTGACGTAAAACAAAGTCTCAATCTCCTACTCCCTATGTTCTAGCTTAATTATCCTTGAAGTCATAACGTATCTCCATGGCGGCGCTATGAAAGCAATTACTAACCTTTGAGCCTTTGCGTTTAGTGGAATATCAAGTGGCTCAAGCGAGCCATTAAACTTTCCCAAATTTAATACCCTAACATCATAGTATTATGATTTAATAATTGTGAATTCTATGTAACTTCTACGACCCGTGTCAGCGTTTTTCTGTAGGGATATGAGTAAATGATGGTATGCAGTACCAAACTGTGACAGTGATACACTGTAATAAACTACTGCCTGAATTCAATTTTTGGTGGTTGTTCTCAGTGATTTCGACGATCACGAGAACTGAATTAGGCCATGAATAACCAGGAGTGGTTTCAGAGCTCGTTTCACCGCCTCTGTGCTGTTGGTGAACACAGTCGGACTTGTGCAAGTGTTAGCCCAATGTATCGCTAACGGTATAATGCTGCCACTCGCTCAGATTCTTTTCATCATCGGCGCATCCTTCATTTATGAGGTACAACACCACACCGTTTTGTACTACAGTGGAAGATATTGATATCTTAGTTAAGAGGCTCGATAAGGTTGATAATAAAAGCTATACATTCATGGGCACGATGTCTAACAATATGAATCAGAGATTTTCAACATCATTAAGGAGTGTTCGGTATGGAAGTTGTCGTGGAGGGAGCTTCTGGCGGCTCAGTCTTTGCGCACTTTCATTCCGTATAATTGAACTATTGCACAAAGCGTCACTTTACTTACTTAATACTTAATACTTGAATGGCCCATCCTCAGAAGTTGCGCGGGCTCCAGCATAGTCTCCATTTTTTCCAGAAATTTGGTGGTTAAGCCATTGTAGTTCCCTGGAATCCCGAGATCAGCCTGGCCAAAGTCTGCCCCAGGACTTCACCACCGCAGGCAGTTGCAGCTTTTGTGGATCAGAGAGATTTCCTACCATGCGACTAATTTGATGCCAGGAAGCGTCACTTTAAAAATACAAAATGAAATCGGGCCTTAATTTCCTTAGAACCAAATAGATGAGTATTGAATTGCCCTAAATAGAGCTTTTCACAATGTTGCCACAACTTCCTGAGAATAATTAAGTAAAAGCACTTGCAATTACTTCGCACTAGCGCACATTTGATAATGAAGTTTCAAATTTTTTTGCACAATGTGCTCTATTTTTAGTGGAACCTATTACATGGCGATGGCCTCACAAGACACCGCCGCGCATATTTCGATGTTGTGAATGTCCTGGAGACGTACCAGACCCGTGCTCGAACGCATGGACATTTATTTCAGGTGACAGTGGCCATTACTTAGAAACTTTTGCTGAGAGGGCAAATTTTGAGTTCCAAGACAAGACCACGACGTGCCGTAAGCAGGTTTTTGCCTTGCACAACGATGACCAGAACACCCTGGTCAAGGACTGCACTGGCTATAGTGCACGCTTTTCTTCAGACTTCATGTCACTTCAGAAGCAAAGGTCAGGAAACTGGCACAAGCCCATTAAGTGATGAAAGCCACGTTGTATCAGTTAATTCGATGAAGATTGCCTAGTGTTCTTCTTGTTTGCTTTGTTGGGCCTTTGTTGCAACCATAGTGAGATCGCCAGACTTGGATAATTAGTACCTCATATATGTAAGCAATAAGCAAACATACGCAAGTATAATCTAACATGTAAAGATTAGCACTGACATAGCCTATTATCCTCTATGGATTAAAGATTCTTTCTTCTTGATGATAAGTTGTGATTGGCCCACGAGAAGTGCAAATAGTTTTCGCATTCAATCCAGAGCGGCTGTGGTGTTATCCGGTATTGGAGCTGTGTGTTTTTCATGCTCCTCGTTGCAGTGGAAATTTCGCAGAGTGGAGTACAATGTGGATTTCCGCCTATAAAGGTTTTAAGTCTTAATTAGGTATAAGGTCGGAAAAGATTAGAATAAAACATTTGGGTTATCAATTCCATATGATAGCACAAGATGGACATAATTGTAGGATTGACAGTGAACGTTACACTGGGGAAGAACTTTTTCTTCTCTCGTTTACTTCAAGTTGGTCTTTGAGTCGGTAATAGAACGCATATACTTAACTCTCATCAGCTTCATCAGCTGGATAAGATGGTGAGAAGCGATTGATAATGTGTACTATAAAGCACTTGCATACTAGAGCAATAAAATAAAGGATAAAGCGTTCGGCGTTGATCAACCTATAGATGATGCGGCTTGAATCCGATTTCATCAAGAATTATGGAGGTGAATGAATACCTGGGCGCAGGATCAAGCCAGTGATCAACCTGAGTGTATTGCAGAGGGCCTTTTATTCACCGCATTACAGGCACCCCTAATAGAGGAATACTAGAGCAAATTTCTCGGATTTTAATCAAGTCACTTTGTCATTGAATAGTATTGTAATCAGGCAGAATACTCTGGTAATTTACAGCCTGACCCGCCCACACCGATTGTGGTATTCGCAGATGGAACGGCGACAGGAGGAAATCATGAGGCAAGCAAGGAGAGGACCGAGTTTACCAATCAACGCGACTCGGTAATTTTCGATTCCTACCCGAGATTTTTATATTTTCAGACATTGAAAAAAGGCAATTTTTTTAAGCACTACGCCAATATGTTCCAATACGCAATGCAAATGAACAAGGAGTTAGACTTGATGGAAAAGGTGGGAATCATTCAAAAATCGTGAATACGAGACGTTAAACATCCATCTGCCCAGATTAACCAGATGCTCTTAGATTCTCTTCAAGCTATTCAAAATCACGAAGTATGTGCTGTTTTTTTTGCATGAGCGCTTTTCAATTATATTCGACTTAGATGAGAAGATGTGCATCATGGATTCGGTGTGGACACGTGGTAACTAACCACTAGACAAATCAGCTGCATAGATGCATCAATGGTTTCTCCACACACATGTTGCAGGAGCCTCAGTTCCTCCATTTGATTTAATTGATCGAATTCGTATGTGGACTCGACTGTGATTTGAGGATTCGTCCTCTTCATTCACTATTCACCATAGACAGTTGGCAGCAGTTGTGGATGACAGAGATTAATACCAACATCGGAACTAGGACCCTTGCAGGACAGTAAAAGATCCATTTGTGCTGCGTAGCGATTGACCGACTATCGAGGACGATGTGACAAGGTGAATCAGGAGACAGCTTTACACACTCATCTTTGTTAGGTAACTTGCTTTCAGCTCACCGACAAGGCAATGACTTTAATAACTGGAAAGCTGATTGCTGATTAACCAGGAAGGTCGATTCCTGTATTAGATTCGATAGTTTATTAGGCACATAGAGAAAGGAGTGTAACAAGAACGCATCATTGTTCAACACAGCAGTGAATGAAAACGCTTCTATCGTCCTATATTTATTTGGACTTTGGTCCGCCCACCTTCTCTATTAGTAGCAGTGGCATCACATTTTTCACTTTTTTCTTTCTGCTGCCGTTGTATATTATGATGGTTTGCTTGGCGCATCTGTATAAATTCCAATTCGTGATCGACGACGCATTTGTAGCTAATGATGCAGCTAGTTGATGTTAGCTACCCATATGTGCGCCGACCTTATTGGTAATCGTCTTAGGAAACGATTGAACCCTCTGGGAGTTCATTACACTGTTCATGTTAGCCATCTTTTATCAAGTTTTCCCATCGTATGACCGGCTTATCTATGTTTCACTTTCGATTTTTATTCTGAAGACGAGGTAATTTCCGATGTTAGCAGTTGCATAGGTCTGGCACAACTCTACGAGGACCGCTGAATCAAAAAGATGAGCGTCGGGATCTGAGTATCCACGGATAGATTGCTTCCATGCGACACGTGAATCTGGCTTGGCCTGCTCTCCTTCTTCTACTCATTTTCCATATTCAGTAAACATAGCATTCTATTAAGAAAGATTTTTCCATCGTTCTATGGTACCAGAAATTCGTTTCGTGCTCTCATATCTTCATGAACCTTAGTTGTTTTTCTATCTACTTAACTGTTCGACTGAGATCTGTGGAGAGTCACTTTGATGTCCCTGATCCTCTGATGCCGGCTGACTTTCATTTAGAAAGAAATTAATGAACGGTTTCAGGAAAACGCTAAATCAACTCCGGATGTACAAAAAGATCAGGAACAATCAACCACACCGGGTACGACTGCGCAGTCCACAAATACACCATCATCCAACTCAGACACGAAAGGCAAAGGCAAAGGAACGCCCTCAGATGGCTTTACGATACACATCTAGTCGTTCATTTCCATTAGACATCGTATCGTATTCATCAAAAAAATTGTCCTCGGATCAAAATAGCTTATATCTTTGCTCTGTGAATGTTTGATGATTCAATTTATGTAATAAATCACTAATTTTCATTGTATCATCGAAAATAGCCCGGCCACCTACACATATAAAAGCACTTCGTCCATTGTTTATCCATTGTTTAGGGTACGTAATTAAAACCTTTAGCTGGGAGATTTAAAAAAATAGTTGGTGAAACTACATACTTGCACTCTTCAAGAAATTTAAAAGCCGATTTTAACCTCGACACGAGTGCTCAACACATACTTGTTTTTCCATTGATAAGCTAATGTTACCTCATAAATCAATCAAATAACTTAATTTTTTTGTACTCCGTATTTTTCACTTTGTTGGTATCATTAATGCGTAACGCCCGATCTGCACTGGATGTTACGAAGGCGTTTAGGGGCAAAATGAAAGTCTTGAATTGTCTCTTATCAAGGTCCTTCGCAGCCGCTTATTTTGCCAAACTGGGTCTTTCATGCACTTTTTGTACTCACTCAATAGCTCGTCTTATCAGGAATGGCCTATGAAGTGCCGTTCTTTTGATTTAATAATTTACAGGAAGCCTTTCCTTAGATGAATTCATTTTGCGACGAAAAACTATTCCAGTTTAAGGAGAGTATGTACCACGAAGACCGTTGCCCATGAAAAGAAGCAGAAATGTTTCTACTTAAAGACTGAAGTTGAAGACACTTAGGAACAGCTTTCCGCTATGATAAGATGGTAAGAGAAGTAGAGCATCGACTCGGATAAATGCGGCTCTGAAGAAGACGAAAACGCCGAAACGTTTCATACCAAATCCGCGTTAGCTCTGTAATTTCTGAAAACGTTATCGGGAGTTAACAGAAAGCCGTCCTTTTCCTTTACGTAGAGCATCCAAAATTCAGTTTTTGACCAGTGATCCGCTGGTTTTTTCTTCTCCAACCAGGTTGCAGTTATGGTATGGGATGGTCAGATGAAAGATATACCAAGACAGCCGCAAACAAGTTGTAAAATGCTTCCGTATGGTGATTGTAAGGGTGCGTGTAGCGTAGTGATTAGAGGTGCCCTGGGACACACATGGGTTCGATTCTACGCTTCAAGATCACCAAACAGTCTATTCCTCTAGAGCTGGAAAACTAGTACCAGACTTCTCTGGAAGGATAGCATCACTGTGGCTCGATACATCTGTAGGTCACCGCGAACTGTATCGGTTGCATATGCATTCAGTTACCTCTAACGATGCTCGATGAAGCCGAAAGCACGGCGGATCACATGCGGATTGATTAACGCCGAAAACTTCTTTTTATGGTAAAAGCAATAGGTTTAGAGGGCGAACTGTAGTAAAAAGTGGCGTGCAATAACAATATTATGCATGTAGATGGATAAAAAACTCTCATTCTGTACCTCTGCAATTTTCGTGGCTCCAAAAGTCGTTCAAACCTCGAGAATATATCGCTTATTGTCAAAAAAAAACCCAGCATTTCCATGCATAGTTCGTGGATGGGTTTTACTTTTTGTGTGGCGGCCATAAAGTTAGGTCTTCTGAAAAAAATTGATGTGTGGAGCTCTATCCGTCAAGTTGAGCAAGTCGTGCATTCCAGACACTGAACACCCACGTTTAAAGTCAGTTGCTAACAGAGTGTAGAAATCATTCAGTGGGGCCTTACCCTACAAAGGTCAAGAACTGTATTCCGATACTGTGCTGTGATGCACAGCAGATATTCTATCTTCATTCAATTAATAATAATGCTGATGAATCCGATTGCGATAAAAAGCTTGAAGTGGAGATTTCGCTGACTGGAATTTACCACTGCCAGACTGTGTTAACTCTTAGAGGAACCGTTTCATGAGGTGGCAAAACGCGTTTTAGGTCATTCGAATGGTGGCATGTACCGAAGACTTAAGAGCGCTTCCAAACGATTATCCTAGCACAAGGTAAAGCTAACTAAACCATTTTGTTACGACGTGCAAAAACTCGTACGTGGCAGAGAGCAAAATTCGTATGTCGCGGAATATAAGTACAGTTCGACACTCATCCATAGTAGATAATCCTTGAAATGTGAGTCCTCGCAGCAGTCGCAGTCGAACAATGCAGACACTCGTCCGGAATCGCTATGGTTTTGAAGAAGGGGACGGTGGCGAAACTTCAGCCACAACGCACTTGTAGAATTTCGCGTAAGTTTGTGAACAAATCAACGTAATTCACACCGAAGCAAAACAGAATTGTTCTTGTAAAAATAAAGGGCAAACTGTTCATTTCGCATCAAATGGAGCTATTAAAAACTATAAAGAAAATCCCCTGACTTCACAACAACTATATTGAGGAAGACATTACGAAAACACATGTGTTGAACCTGCACATCGAAATTTGATTGTTCCTGAGGTCTACATGCTCAAGAACGTGACATTCTCTCCTTCTCAGATGCATTGTATGCTTTCACCACTGGCAAATCCTTCTGCAATTATAAAAACTGCCTGTGAACTTTTACTTATTCCAAACTGACCGTTAAAAGATAACTGATATGACTCGTATGAAGTGCTGAGATATTTGCAAAACTCCGGACCACAGGTGTATGCAGTGGGAAACGAACACGCGCTGTTGTCCTCACCGGGGAGCAGCGCACTTCACCACTACACCATCCGGGTCCTTCGCTTTGCATGCATCTCAGCTAGTTCTATCGATCTTTTTGCCATCAGCAATCACCCGTCAACGGGATTGATCTGGGGAGCCAATATCGGCATTGAACCCAGTTAAGCTGAGGCCTCGTTATAATCACAATCTTAACTCTTTTATTTACTGCCTTTTTTTCAGTCAGTAAAAGGCAGTAAATAAAAGAGTTAAGATAACTGATATGCTCGCGCTGATTATTAAATAGAAAAAGAAAGTCATTTCGATGTTATTAAAAACTCTTCAAAAAAATTCTAAAAAGAAGATTAAATAATTACGAAGTGTTTCTCTAACTAATTTTTGCTCCATCCGAAAAGGACCACAGTAACTCAGTAAAACGTGTGTTATTGGTTCCTCATATCAATTTATCCAAACTCTTATGAAGATCCAAACTTATTGCTCATGTGTACACATGCACAAAAGTTTAACTACCCAACTTTGAAGTTTATACACTAAAACCAATAAAACTCCTGCCTGAAAGGCCGACAGAAAATAAGAAGTATCTGTTGATCTAACAGATACAGAGGTCGAGCACCGATCGCCAGTCAGTTTGCCCGTTTTGTTGTGCAGGCTGCGGTTTTGACGACATAAGTTATCATGATATTAGCACATAAAGCTGGCAAATAACAGTTGTAGAATTCTAATATACATTCTTAGAACTATTTACGATGTTAATGAACAATTTACGACTAGTGCGAAATATCGTGCATTCCATGTCAGGAGCGAAATGGATACGTAATTTAAATTACCCACCAAGTTTACTTTTTCCACAACTGATATTTCGGACTGTGAGGGTTCCACATTGAGAAGAGGTTCGTTGCTGTCATCATAATCGGAAGTACTAATAGCCAACAAGGTACGTTCCTTAGTTGGTTTATCAAATTCAAAGTTCTGAAAAGTGTGAAAACTAGAGAATTGTTCGTCTCAAAGATCAAACGGCATCTCAACTAACGACAAAACAATGCAAAACTTAGGTGAAAAAATTTAACGACCCTGTCTAAATT